TTTTCATTACAGCGCCATCTGTTACAAATATGAAAAAATGTTTTAGACAAAATCTACCCCCTGTTCCCCTATAAGAAGAAGAGTATGAGGACCAATTTTAGTAGGTACTGATTGATTTCCCCCCTCGAATAATGTTTTCGTAAAATGCATACTAAGTGAGATATTTCAAATTTCAAGTCAAATGACTCGCCATATAATTTTTTACATCCATATAAATATACTTTTAAGTTCCAGATATATATTTTAAAGTTTAAAAATTTTTTTTAGATTTCGAGTTTTGCAATTTGGGTTAAGATAGCTTATTTGGTATTTTCTTTGTTTATTTTTTTTTATTAGCAACGGTTTAGGCTATTGGCCATTTTTAAAAAGGTCAACGCGTCGCAGAAGAATACCTCCCAGGTAACGAGAAAATTTATTTCTATTTAGACAAAATTAACCTTATGTAGCCTCAACCTCCTATACGCCGCCACTGAGCTAACTAAATACCTTAATTTTTGCTAATTTTCAATTAAGATAATGCCAATTTTTTAAGTTTTTCATTATTTAAGTGTCAAACAAAATAATTTGAAATTAAAGCAGACTTAAAACCCATTGTGCCTTAAATTGTCTTGTCAATGCCATTTCGTTTTTAGACTGCGCCTTAAAGAGGCGAAAACCTTTTGATAAGGGCAATAATTAAAGAGAATAAAGCCTTTATTTACGTTGTTGTGAATAAATTTCGCAAAATTTATCTCCCTTTTTAGCTTTTCCTAAATTTAATTTAGTTTAAAGTTTAATTTAGGTAAGCATTGTTTTTAGATTTTATTTTTTTAAATATGCTTATATGGTGAAGTGCTTCATTGAAAAAACAGCCCGTTAACGTTCAAAAAATTCAACGTTCTAAAAACAATTATAATTTCGAAAATAATTTTTTGTTTTGTTTGTTTTCTCGAAGCTCGTAGCATATTTATCAAGAGGAAGTGGTTAAGACTAAAACGAACATATTGATGAATTTATTTTTTAATCAACATATTTATCAATATAATAAATTCACAGAACTTATCAAAACTTGTTTAGATTGGATTTTACAGTAAAAATTCGTGTTAGTTAGTATTCCACAATATTTCCTAATATTGTATTAAAAATTCAATTTGTATTTATATGTTAAAAAAATTTCCTTTTTAAATAAAAAAATTAATTACTTACGATTGATTAAATTTGGATGAAAATTAAATTACGTTTAAATAAATAAATGTTAATTTTAGTAAATTGATAAAAAAATCTGAAATGTTGCATTGTTGCCATTTAACTTTGTTCTACACACATTACCTATCTAAATTTTCTTTCATAAAATAGGTAACTTTGTTAAAAGAAAAACAAATAATGATTGTAGGTAGGGTTGGGACAGTTGAAATTTTCAAATGAAAATTTAAACTTTGAAAGTTTCAAACTTGAAATATTTCATTTAGTTGGAAAAGTGAAATTTTTAAAAATTTCAAATGAAATTTTCAATTCGAAAATTTTAACATTGCATGTGAAACTTTCAGAAATTTCATTGAAAGTTTCGCAATTTACTGAAAATTTTGCATAAATTTCACATGCGGCCTCCCCTGGGACCTTTAATAATAATTTACAACAGATTTCGAGTCGACCAATAAGAACGAGTTATCAAGCGTTTGGGCGTTTTTGTTTAGTTCGGCTTGGATTTGAATACACTATAAGTAATTATTGTTACTTATATGCATAAATTAATTTAAATAATTTAATTCAGTTACCAATTTAATTTGTAAATTAAATCAGACTTTAAATTTTTTTTAAAAGTCATGATTAATTTAAACTTTTACTTTTCCTATAATTGTATCGGAAAACGGATAAAAAATGCCTTTGGCTCATAAAATTTTGATGAAGTTTCTTCAATTTTTGTAAAATTTTAGTAAAATATATAAAAATAATAAATATATAGGTATAAATATAAAACAATGAAAGTGGCACAATCTCATTAGCTTACCAAAAAGTGCTATATCTCTCTTAGTTTTAGTAATTTTAAAAATATTTTAAAAGGAAATCTCAAGAAATTTGTGGTAAACATAGGTATTTACTATTTATATTATTGGTGCAGGGGCCCACAGAGGGGTAGGAGGTAAGATAGGCAATTTGCCATGGTCCCCGAGTGAGCTTATTTCAATATTAATATATTACAGTGATTACAAGTGATTGAAATTTATTGAAAGTTTCAATAAATTTCATAAATGTCATGAAAATTTCAAGTGAAATTTCAAGACAAGCAAAAAGTGAAATTTTCCCAACCCTAATTGTAGGTACACATTAGACTAAATTAATAATTAAGGTACTGTTAAAAGCGACTAAGGGACATCCATTAATTACGTGGGACAAAAATGGGGGAGGGGTCCAGCAAAATCTCACCAAATCTCATTTTAAAGGGGGGGTAACTTAAAATTTCGTATTGAGATAATAAAATAATTTTCAAATTTAGTACTTATTATTATACAAGAAAGGTACTTTATTTTAACGATTTTATGACATTTGACAACTGTCAACTAACTTAAAGCTAACTTCAGCCCGTGATTAAAAACCTGTTGCTAACTTCAGCCCTTGACTAAAGCGCCGTAAAGCCACAACTTTTTAATGTGTATTTAAAAGATCACTTAGTGTCATGGAAACATGTACGATAAAGGGCGTTTTAAAGGTGGGAGTAGAAAAACTACATTTTAGGTAACTAATCCTAATTTTAAAGCATCCAAAACTGAATAATCAAATTGTCTAGTTTTCTGCAATTACCGGTATCATAGATCAATGTATTTTGCTCGTATATTTTCATTTTAGGTACAAAAACAGGGTTTTGACAAAATACGAGCTTACCTCGGAGCTTACATTAATGAACAAGGAAAAATTTCGCAATAAATTTTCATTTGTGCTTTTCCGCTGCAAACTGTAATTTTTAGTATTTAGTGTCATTTTGATTTACCTTGATGATGCATTTTTCAAACAAGATAAGTAGGTAAATCATTATAAAAAAATAGACTATTTATTTACTTTTTAATATTTAAGTACCTAGGTATACTGATAAGGTTTTAAAGCGGCTCAAAAATGTTGCAATTACTAAAATACATTTCAGAAATAATATTAAAATAAACTATGTAACTTGTATAAAGCAGTAAACCATTGAATTCTATAAATCTCTTAAATCGTCGTGCAAACGTTTGAAATACCTAAGACCGAACATAAATTATATTACGAGTTTGAATCAATACTTATAATTCTCGTTAATTTTAGAAAATCTTATTATTTAATGAGTCTGTTCAAGTTAAAACGATTTTATAAAGCAGTGTCGGAACTACCGCTTATGAAAAGGGAGCGGTGCTGGGGGCTATAAACACATTTCTAATGCTAAAATATTTACAATAGGTTTAATGTGGAACCCAAATTGCTGGTAATTAAAAAATTGACCTCTATAGATACATTATTGTTTTTTTAGGTTGTACAATTTAAAGAAAGGTAAACTTTTTAGAAAGTTATCTTGAAAACCATAGTTTTTCCAACTGGATTTTTTATTCAATAGGTAATATTTATTTATATTTAATTTTAATTAAATACTTTATTGCTGATTAATCAATCGAATAAAACTCTCTAATATTGTATGACATCACATATAATAAACTAAATCGCAAGAAAGCACGTAAATAATAATCACAACAAATCATTTAAGTAATCTAAAAATAGGTCATCAGCATGTGTACAAATTATTAAATAATAACACAAAACACCTGTAAATATCCCGTATAAATTGCATAATTAACACAAAAATACATTGCGCTAATCAATAGGCTTAAATTTAATTCGGAAAAACTTGTATGAAACCTAACCTCAAAGTATCCAATAAAACAATATTTATTTACACTGGTAACCAGGCGTTAAATGGGGTAAAGTGTGCAGTATGATTTGTTAATCGCGAGGGCCGTTTTGTGATTCTTTTGTTTTTGGGCGTGTAAGTATAAAAACGGGGCAAAAAATACTTACACGACCATTCCGTAGGCGCCTTCTCCGATGTAAGCGAGGTTGGTGTAGCGGGGCCCGACCTCGAAAATCTGCCCCCGCACCACTTCGGCGTTGGGATTGTTTGATGTTGATGATGCACCTGTAGCTTCCGCCATTTTTCGCGAAAATTGCTAAACGACTTATCGCCACGACGAACTCGCGCACACTGAACAATTCTCTGAAGATGAAACGACAATCTCGCACTACATCGCCTAATTTTACGCAAATTATATAGTCAAAGTGACAATAATCGCTGTATAAACGTTTATTATAATGGGTGTAAGCGATTTTTTAATGGTTTGTTTATGTAAATCCAGATAAAAATGCATTTATTTGATAAAATTTGCAAAATTAGAGTGAGTATACCACTACCATCTAGCGGTGTAATATCAAAACACAAATTTATTATTACAGTGTTATTTATTTGGCTGTATCGTTGATTGAAGACAAGGATATCAATAAGAGAATAGTCGACTTCCTATACTTGGCTGTATATACTCAATGCCCCTTATGTACAATATTAAGTAACAAAGGACAAAAGTTCATTTTAATTGTTAAAAAATTGTTTAGCTTAGCACTACAGGATAGGCTCCAAGTTGAGGGCGTGGTTTAAGCACGCTCGATTTATGACTGATCAATCACAATTCCTTCAATTTGATCTTGACTATCCTGTCAACTAAATCCTTGATAAAAGATATCTTTATAATCTTCACCAAGAAGACTAACTAAAGGATGACAGTATGTTGGAGATTCGTGATTTTACCTCAACGGTAGAATTTGTTTATTGTTTAATTGATATTATTGTTCCGAATAATTTTAAATATTAACAAATATTTTGCCAATTTTAAATTAGAATTTAAAAATAACCACAAAATATAAGAATTAGGTAAGTCAAAAATTAGTTGGTTTATAATAAAAACACATTATCCTTTAGTACTTATGTAATAATGATACACTTTAATTAATTAATCATCATCTACTCGTTGTCGGGTGTTTCTTTTTGCCCCGCCAGGTATTTTACGTTTTTTAAATGATGTTTCACCACCTTCAAGACTGCTTACTGTTTTTTCTTTAAATTCTTTTACCACAGGTTCTGGTTCTACTTCTATTACAGGGACGTAATAATCGTTTTGGGGTGGTAAATCCAATTCCAGAGGTGCACTAAAATTTTAAAAAAAATGTTTTTTTATTGTACAGGGTGATCCCCTATAATATCGCCCCCTTTTTATTTTAAGGGTCCCAAAAAATTTAAAAGTGTGGTTATGTAGGTACTAAAAAATATTTTATATTGATCAGTATACAGGGAAAACCAAAAAGTTTATTTTTTTTCAATGGATCACCCTATATATGTATTTATTTTTCGATTCCTTGTAAAATTCTAAGCATCTTTCATATAACATACCATATACCTAAATTCAACCGTTTCTAAAATATTTAAATTATTTTTAAGATAATAAAATGAAATAGTTTGTCTTCCTCTGTTTGAGTACGCCATTTTTACTTATTTAACAAGACATATTGACATAATGTCACTATAGTAATTTATTTTCAATAAAAAATTTGGTATACTGAGGCTTCTTGATTTCTAACATTTAAAAAAACATTTAATAACATTTCGAATGCGAATATTTCAGAAACAGTTGAATTTAGGTATATAGTTTGTTATATGAATTATGCTCAGAATTTTACAAGGAATCGAAAAATAAATTCATATATAGGGTGATCCATTGAAAAAAATAAAATTTTTGTTTTTCCCTGTATACTGATCAATTTTCCAATTTTCTTTATAGGTAGAAAAAAAGTATTTTTTAGTTCCTACATCACCACACTATTAAATTTTTTGCGACACTTAAAATAAAAAAGTTAAAGGGGGGCGACATTATAGGGGTATTCCGTTACCTTAGAGTATGTAAAACATGGATAAACAATAGAGCCCTCAATATGGGGATCCCGTTACCTTAGTGTATATAAAACATGGATAAACTTACGATTCTTTAACAGTGTGCCATTTTCCGTACGGGTCATTTTTTCCAGGTTCTATAATAGGCCCGTAAACCGGTTCTGGTTCGTCATTTTTGACGGCTCGTTCTTTCAGTTTTTCCCGCGCTTTTTTGGCTCGTTCCTCATCGTCCGCCCTTTTTTGTTGTTGTAATCTGAAATGGTTGTCTTTAATATTTAATTGTTTATTTTATTTTTGTTGGTTATATTACCTCATCAAACCTTCCCTTTGTCTTTGTTTTTCCAGTGCTCTCAATTGTTTTGAACCCTCGTCGTATTTTTCTTTGTCTTGCTCTTCTATGCTGCAGTAGCCTTCTTCAGGTTTTTCCCATTTTGTTTCTAAAAAAATTTATAATAGAAAATATAATACCTATACCACAATCCACACAACAAGGTCTGTTCGATCTCATACTAAAAATCATCATACAATGGCGGCCATTTTTGTTGTTTACAATTATTGTGCTTTGAGTTTGTACAGATTAATAATCGTTAAAACGTTGTGTTTCTTACAGAGAGACTTGCAAGCCTTAAAAAAGACCTCAAAGTGGTAAGAACAATCATTTTACTTCTCTTTTGTATAAAAATAAACCTTAGTCTATCAAGGATGTCATACAACTGCCAAATGTCAATTTTAAGGTTATTTTATAACCCACAAATTAACCTTTAAATTGACATTTGACAGCCCTGATAGAATAAGGTTTATTTTTTACAAAAGAGGAGTAAAATTATTGTTTTTACCACTTTGAGGTCTCTTTTAAGGCTTGCAAGTCTCTCTGTAAGAAACACAACGTTTAAAACGATTATTAATCTGTACAAACCCAAAGCACAAGAATTGTAAACAACAAAAATGGCCGCCATTGAATGATGATTTTTAGTATTTTTAGTACGAGATCGAACAGACCTTGTTGTGTGGATTGTGACCTATACAAAATACATACCATTTGTCAAAACGTTCCAATAGTAAAAATTTCCATCCTTACTCTTCGCCTCTTTCCAAACCTTTTTACTACCACTGCTAATAGCCAAATTGTCTTCTTTCAATTTGTTATTTATCGCTACCGAGGTCATATCAGCATTATTGGCAACGTCTTTTCTGTACGCAGCTAGAGCTAAAGCCTCCATCTGGCGCATCTGACTGTCAACTTTTTCGGATTCTCTTTGCGCCTTTGCGCTGTTCCTCGTGATCTGATTGAGCCTTCTTTTGACATTTTCTTGATGTTTTCGACCTTTTTCGTGAAATTCAACACTCTAAAAATTTTTATACTTTCATAATATAGGTTATGTTTGGAAATACAGGACACCCTGTATAATGATTTAGATTTTTGCTTACCGGTTTATTGTCGGTGATCCAGCATTTGCAATAGTCACAGTACTTTCTGTCATTCGATTTCCAGTAGTCCGCCCTAAATTTGCAAACAATTATAATGATAAAAAAACTATTTTTAGAATTTGAAAGTTTAATAGTCAACAATCCAAATACAATATATTCAGGAACTAACGATAAAATGACTAGTTTTTAACAATGAATTAAATACAATAAAATTTATTCAACACTTCAACAATATCAACAATAATATTGAACAGTAAACATTAGACAATAAAATTTCACTAAACTAAACCTAAGGTGAGGTAAACATGTTAAATCAAATAAACTCTTCAATCAACTTTAACTGGAAAAAAGGAACTGGCAATTCTTTATTAGAAGTATCCAGTAAAATTGACTTTCTACATTGGTAAATTGAGTAATACGTTCGAATACTGATATTTTGAGACATCTTTAAATATATAGTAATATTGGTCAATGTAATATCAGTCAAAGATAAGTACCATCTAAATACATCAAACAAACATATAGTAGGCAGTGTGTCCAGATTATACACGACGACTTATAAGCTTTGTTAATAAATTTCTTTTGCAAAAATCTCTTTTATTTCAATTTTAAGAAGTTCCTTAACGAGATTTATAATTTTCCTCAAGAAAATATTTTTTTTATTTTTTCTTTCTGCATTCTATGCAGCCTTTATTTTTATAATAAATTTATTGAATCACTGAAACTAAATAAGTTATATTATGCTTTTAAAGCCTTTTAATACGATTTTTTGTTGAAATTATAACTTATTTGATTTGTGAAAGTGGAGGGGGTAAACTCGTCGTGTATAATCTGGATACACTGGTAGGTAGTACGCTTTTGACAATAAATAAAAAAGATTAACTGTAAGTTTGCTCCCACTAGTTTTTAGTTCTTATTAAATAAGATCTCACAGTTAATCTTTTTTTATCAAATTTACATAAGTAACGGATATGTTAACTCTTTAAATATTAACTATTGTGTAATACCATATTCCGTAAAAGTTTAAATATAATATTTCTTGTGTAAGATACATTTTTAGTGTAGTATACCTATACAGGGTGGCCCGGAAATAATTACACAAAAAAAATGAATTAAATGATTTTCAAGTAAAAAATAAGAAAAACTATGTTATACTTTCTCCCAACATTATCGGGACACAGTGTATCCAAAACATTAATCGAAAATAAGATTATACAGAAAATAATTTGATATTTTAAATTGTGGAACACCCTGGATAAATATATTTAATACTTTAAGTACGACAAACAATAAAGATTTGTACTACAAAAATATTTATTAATAACTAGAGTACAAGGTACATTGGTTTTAGCTATAAAGTGGTACAGAAATACATAATATGGCAACTGGACTTATACGGGGTGGTCTAACATAGCATGGTCAATTTTGGAATGGAAAACAATTTAATAACACCCTGTGTAGTACAGTAATTTAATCAAAGTATCTGTGGGTATTGATATATATTTTTTTAAATTTTGCGATATTTTTGGCCAAGGGAAAAACATGAGCCTCCTTTTTCATACATCACAGTATTTTTTATATTTTTTGTTTGAGACAATTTGAGGAAATTGGTATTATATATCACAGATAAGGTTAATTCAGACTAGACATAAGGAATATATGGCACGCCGTTTTAGCATTTGTTAGATAATAGTTTGAAGATTAAATTTTAGTACCTACTTTAATGATGTTTTAACAGAAATTTTTTAAACTTAAAACAAATGATAGTCAAAAAATATTTTAAATATAAATACAAATTTGTATTTTAAATTTAAAATATTTTTTGACAGTTCTGTAAAACCTTAAGTTTAAAAATCTTGATTTAAAAAAAATTTAGTTCTACAAAATTATCGGTTTAAATTTGTAAAAAGTTATTTAAATGATAGTCGATAGATCTTTAATACAAAAATTCTCAAATTACATTTAAATTTTAAAGTAATTTCTGAATTAAAAAACATTTAAATGGCTCATTACAAATTTAAACCAAAACTTTTTATTTTTAACAATTTTAAATTGATACATTTTAACACAAAATTTATAAACTTACATTTAAATGTAATTCGATAATTTTTAATTTACAAAGTGTAAACGTAGCTTTAGCAGACGGCTTACGCTGTCTCTTTCTAGAGCCAAAGAAGCGTTTACACTTTGTGAATAAAAAATTATCGACTTACATTTAAATGTAATGTGAGAATATTTGTATTAAACATGTATCAACTCTCATTCTAATGACTCTTTACAAATTTAAACCAATAATTTTAAAAACCAATATTTTAAACCTACTACCTTTACATATGCATTTTATATTTAAAATATTTTTTATCAATCGTTTTGAAAAATTAACTTTTTAAACTATTTCGGTAGAAAAATTATAATTTAAAATTTTTGCAAAAATTGATTGGAAATAATAGTAAATGTTGTCTTTTAATACATGAAAATATTTAAAATTTATAAATGTAAACCAAAAATTTTTAGTTGGGAAAATTTTAAATCAATAAAATTTAAAATTAAAAAATTATTTAATAAATGTTAAAAATGCGTGCCATAGGAATATGGTCGAACTAGGTACTTAATTTCTATGTTGAATGTCTATAAAAACAACTATTTTGCAATAGCTTTGTATTTTGTTTTAAGGTAATTGGTTTAATTAACGTTAATTTTTAAACTTCAAATAGTGTAAAAACAAAAAATATGAACGGTCCAATGTCAAATATTGAGTTTTTCAGACCGTTAAGAACAAGTAAGTAAAACTAGATTTATAAACTACGTTTTTATAGACACCCGTTATACGAAAAAACGAGAACAATAACATGGTGATAATACGTAAGTCTAAGGCCACTTAGATTAAAAATTGGTCACCTCGATCAATATCGGGTAGTGTATGTTGTCGTTATAATCGAAGTTGCTGAGCAAAGCCGCGCGCTTATCCCACACGAGGCCGCTGTAATTCAAAACTTTCCTGCACTTGAACCCTTTCAGCTCCGACTGGCGGACAAACTCGTCCAAGGTGGCGCCCCGCTGCGGCGCCATCACGTAGGCCGTGCCCGACTGCGCCAGGTGCGACCTGATGCAGTCGATCAGATCTGCGCGCGCGTCGTCGAAAAAAAGACAGTCTGCGCAGAGCACGACGTCGTATTTTTCGCCGCTTTTTTCGGCGCCCCACTTGAGCACCCTGCAGCTGACCCCGCCCTTGAATTCGTTGCAATGCAGGGTCGCCTGCACGTTATCGACCGATATTTTGTTCCCGTCCGTGACGGTGACGTGCTTGGCAGACCCGTATTTGGCGACGAAGAGGCCCGCAAGGCAGGACATGCCTCCGCCCAGTTCGAGCACAGTTTTGTCGTTAAATAAGGGTAGGTTCGAGCATACGTAGTAGCTAAGGGTCTCTTCGGACGGCCATATGCATATGTTTCCGGTGTTGTTAAACCTGCGAAGATTTTTTAGAGTTGGGTTGGGTGGAAGAAATATTATTTTGTGGATTATAAGAATATTTGGGTTTAAATACATGTTTTACATGGTAAAGCAATAGATTTTCCTCATTTGTTTTTGTATATTTATTTCAAACAAATGTCATGGACTCTTTTAATATGTATATTAGGTTGTCCGTTATTTACCAAGTTGGCTGTTTTCACTTGGGTATTGTTTAAATAGTTAGTTTATAACCTAATAACAATTTTGAAAAAAAAAATTCCGATGCCACTTAACCCTGCCTTTCCCATTCATTTAACATGGAGATTTTGCACTTTTTGGAAATTATTTTTTTTTTCTTGTTTATTATACACTCACAGGCAAAATAATCGATCCACACAAATTTTCGATGAATTTCAATCGCAAATAACTTTGTTATTTGTTTTCGGATTTAAACAAATATTAAAGAATATTGTAGATACATTAATGGAGAATCGCTCACATTTTAAAAATTACTAAAAAATACACGTACGTTTATAATATACAGGTTTAAATAAAAATATGTTTTTTACCATAAGTTTAAGACACTCTGTAGAGTGGCAAAACCGTATATTGTTCTAAATTATGTTTTAATTATCAAGTCACATCCATTTTTAACAGTTTTGTTTTTGGTTCACCAGGTGAACCAGGTGAACTTCACCTTGATATATTTATTTTTGTGAAAAATATTGATTTTTTTTAAAAAACATTGCAATTTCCAATATTTTTCCTGTATGAAGAACTAAGGTTGCTATGGTCCTTCCATAGCCTATGGAGGATGACAGTGACAGTTTTGTTGAATCATCCCATGCTTGGACATGTCATATACAGCTTTCAAAAGCTATCAAATTGTTTTTTGTAAATTAATGTGTTAATTTTGAGGTGTCTTCTTACTTTTAAAAATGTCTCCGACTGATGTTGCCCTTTGTACTTTACTTCTTGTGACGTTTAAAACACTTGCCACGTAATACTGTGACCGTCCATCCAGGATTAAATTAATGGCTCTGGCAACATCAGTCGGAGACATATCCATTTTTTAAAGTAAGAAGATACCTTAAAATTTTAACATTAACATTAACAAAAAACAATTTGGCTTTTGAAAGCCGTGTATGACATGTCAAAGTATGGGATGATTCAACAAAACTGTCACTGTCATTCTCCATAGCCTATGGATGGACCATAGCAACCTTAGTTCTTCATACAGAAAAATATTGGAAATTGCAATGTTTTTTTAAAAAATCCATATTTTCCACAAAAATAAATATATCGAGGTAAACCAAAAACAAAACTGTTAAAAATAATTTAGAACAATATACGGTTTTGCCACTCTACAGAGTGTCTTAAACTTAAGGTAAAAAACATATTTTTGTTTAAACCTGTATATTATAAACGTTCGTCTATTTTTTAGTAATTTTTTATAATGTGAGCGATTGTCCATTAATTTATCTTCAATATTCGTTTAAATCCAACATCAAATAAAAAAGTTATTTGCGATTGAAATTCATCGAAAATTTGTGTGGATCGATTATTTTGCCTGTGAGTGTATTTAAGGTAGCTCACCAAATATTGTTGATTCTGCTTCTATTATGATCCCTTTAAATAAAGAAATTTTGATATTGACGTCAAAAATGTTGATGAGGTCAAAATTCATTTTTACCGTTTTTCCAATAATTTCGTTTAATTTACCGACCATTCAATATTTATTCTGTATTTAATGTTAAATTTTATTTTATACGTTTTTAATATTGACTTTAGGAAGATTGTAAATCATAAATCATTAATAGTTCATTTTATGTACATACAAATATATGCAGAAACGTTGATTTATTTATTTTAACTGATTTATCATATCATTGGATTTAGATTTTTTCACGAGATGGCAACGCAGTAATTTTCTTTAAAAACTGTTATTTTATAAAATAAATTGGGTAATTATCTTTAAAACGTTTATATTATCCCTAAAGAGGTAATTTTTACACATTAACATTTTGAATTAGATATAAAACAATTAAAATTTTATAAAGATATAATTATTTAATTTAAATTATTCGGATAAAATGATAATTATAAGCAAAAACAGGATAATTAAAAAAAATATTTTTTAATTTTTGATATTTAAAACTGTTATTGAAATAAAATAAATAAGCGTATGATAAAAAAAATCAACATTACATACAGAATAAATATTTAGTATATTTTATTTTATTTATTTTTATTTTAATACTGATTTATGAGATTTCTAATAAATAAAATTTAAAAAAATTTAGGTTACAGCATGTTAAACATCTAAAAATAACAAATACAATAAATTATTGATATTATTCATTTCTCCTAAATATTCTTATATCTTATAAATTGCAAAAAATAGAATTTTCACGATAAATAATTACGTGGTATTATGATTTATATTGTTATTTTATGCTTCAGTGTTGTATAATAGTTTAAGAATAGCTATATTTAATTAATGCTATTAAAACCATAAATAAAAATCACTTTTGGCCCAATTTGAAATTTCTATTTAAGGATTTCTATAAATATCTTTTATATTCGGTTTTATTATGATCAACGTATTGCTTTATTTTTCGATTTCATTGAAATTTATTAATCGGTTATTATCAGGTAGGTACTAAAATTAAACGAATTGAGCTATGCATTGCTTCACTATCCACCGTATTCTCCAGACCTGACCTACAAAAGATAATAATCTATTCCGAACTTTTCGAATCGAACAATTAATTCATAAAATTACCACTAAGAAAGAAATTTTCAAGGGCAATAAAAAAAATATATCCCAAGCAGAATTTTAAGTAAGAGCTTTGAGGCAATATTACTTAATTTAAGAAATATTTTGTTAAATTGACCTTAAAAATTTACTTTAAAAGTAAAACTTTTTTTAAAGTTATTTAATAAGTTTTATTTGCGTTATTTTTACCTATTTTAATAACCCTTAAGTTTCAACAATTTAAAGTATTATGAGGGACGTAATTTTTACGAAAGAAAATTACTTATAAGTATATTTCACCTAAAGGAAAATTTAACGATAAATTTTACTTTAAGGTAAATGTTACTCATAAGTCATAATTTTACGATATTAAGACCACTTTATAACCGTAAATAATTCCTATTCGCCTGGTATTTTTTAGGGTTATTAGTGGTAATAAATACTATTAATATTGACTAAACAAGGAAAATAAAGCTTAAAGTGAAAAATAAAACTTTAAGGGAACATTTTTTTCAGGTCGCCATAATGAGTTTTTAAGATGGCATCCATTACTTATCTAAACATTTATATAATATTTTTTCATAAATATTTTTCTAAAATATAATAAGGAAAGATTTAGTTATTAAAAAATTATTAAAACTAAATGATTTTTAAAAGATTTTATAAGATTTTGTAGGTTTCAAGTTTTGTTGAATTTTTACCCAAGCAATATTTTTTCTTAAAACCGTAAAATATTTAGAGGGCACATAATTTTTAAGATGTATCTAGAGATGTAAAAAGACGGTTTTTTTTCAAATCTGCTACAATAAAGCATATTCTGACAATAAATAACATAAATCTTAAAAAATGGAGTAATTTTTCAAAATGAAATTTTGGTTAAATGAATATTAATAATAAAGTGAAAGGTAGAATATATTTCATTTTTCATTATTGAAAATTTTGACTGAGACTAAAAAATCTGATTTCTTATTATTTGGTAGTTTCCACATAAGAAAACAATATCAATGTAAAACTTCTACACTAATAGAAAAAATTAAAGGATTAAAAAAATTCCAAATTTTTTGCGATTTTTCGGATAGCTGTATCTTCGTTAAAAATGGTCGTATTGGAGCCGTAAAAAAAGCAATTTGAAGCTTGAAGTTTCTAATTTTTAGATGAAAAACGTGCAACGCTCAATCCTAACGAATACCGTAATAAAAAAATTCGAGATTTTTTTGGCTTTCTTTTTTGGTCCACGGAATGTTCTGACTAAACCACCAATGAATAAATGTTCTACAAAAATTTGCTATTGTTTTAAAAAAAATCATACTCTACATGAATTTTTTTGGTAGCTTTTTGAAAAATCTAAAATATTATAGGTAGTTACTTTTTTTGGTCATTTAGTAGCTAATTTTAGTCCATGAACTGGACTGGAAACATAAAAAATTAGGTAAATGGGACTAATCTTGAAAAAAAAACTAAAATGTGAAAAAAAACCATTTGAAAAAAAAACAATGAAAAAAAACCTGAAAAGTCGCATCTCTATAGAGATACATCTATAGATGTATCGTGCCTATTTTTATCAATAAAATAATGTGCGTTTGAGTTTTAATGCAAAATATTATAAGTTTTGACAATTTAAGTTATATTTTTTTATTTTACACTAGGGTGGCCTTTACTACTTTGTAAGTACCATTTTGTAAAATATAAATTAAAAGAACAAAGAAATTACGAATGTCAATGTTTTAGAAAGAGAGAGCAAACAGTTAGTAATTATAGTGTTATTTTTACGTAAATTTGTCGTATTTATAGTTTTTATTACGTTATTTTCTTAGATATTATGTAGATAAAATAACGAAATAAACCATTCCCCAAATTTGGTAACTTTTCGTATCTCTACGGTTATAAAACCGTTTTGATTAACCGTAAAAAATACTTTAAAGTTACTTAAAATGCTGCTTGGGATTTTAGTAATATTTTTTGCAATTTTCAACCAACCAACCCGACTCTGTTCGTCGCTTTACGCACCCCATCAAATCTTCGGCGGAAAACGTTCGATCCCGATGTCCGACGTTCACGAGATACTCGCAGTCGTCGATCGTGAACGAGTACTTGTACCACGTTCTCTTGTTGGTCTCGTTCAGCTGTCGGTCGTTGTCGGCGCGCCGCACGACCGGCGCCGAACTCAGCCGAGCGGTCGTTAAAAGCATGAAGGAGGATATCCGACGCACCGACGCGTCGTCGGTGGGACTGGACGGCTCGCTGCCGCTAGGACTCTGCGCAAAGAAATACACGGTGTGGTCTGAATTAGGATTTTTGTGATTTAAAAAAAAGCATTCCTTTTTTTATTTAGGGGGTGCTTAAAGCTTAAATTGACAATTTAAATTGCAAAATAAATAAAATAAAGTTGCTAGGTTTAAAAATTGATTTTAAAGCAATGTTAAAAAAAGGACAGTTAACAAAAATTATTATAAAAAAGTATTTCAACCACAAAGAAATAAAAACTCAGTTAAAAATTTTGGTAGTCCTTTAAGCATAGAAAAAGATTATAGTTCATATAGTCGCGACCAAATCTGTATGGGTGCCCTTCATCAATGCGATATAATAACGTCAGCATTACCAACTTTGAATTGTAAAGTTACTGTTAGATTTGCTTTTTTAAGGCGTCATTCTGATGTGTTATATGTAAATAAATACATTTTCGTATTGTTTACCAAGAACTGTAAGAATTTCCCGTTTTTTTACGAAATTTTAAAAATAAAAACATTCACTTAGTAATTTTTGTGCGTGCCAGTTGCTAATAGCTTAAGACCATTTATATTATTAATGGGTCAGCGTCATTTTATATTTGACGTTTTTTTTTGTAATTTTGATATTTTTTCCGTAAGTATCGTTTGTTGCAGATTATTTTAAATAATTTTATACATTGCGTTTATCATGATATGATATGCATATTCAACCACTGGATTGTGCAAAGAATGTTACAAGACTTGTAGCATTTATTAGATAATAGTTTGAAAATTAAACTAAATTAGAAATTTACTAAGTAAAATTTTTTTAAACTCAAAACAATTGATAATCAAAAAATATTTTAAGAATAAAATATAACTGTAAAACTTTAAGCTTAAAAATAATGATTTTTTAAAATTATAGTTTAAATATTTTATTTTACAAAACTATTGGTTTAAATTTGTAAAGAGTCAATTTTTAAATTTGTTAAAAATAAAAGTTATTGGTTTAAAGTCATATGACTTAAATATTTAAATGATAGTCGATAAATTTTTAATCCAAAAATTACCACTTTAATATTTAAAACTAACATTTAAATGTAATGTGAGAATTTTTGTATTAAAAATTTATCGACTATCATTTAAAGGACTCTTTACAAATTTAAACCAATAATTTTGTAGAATAAAATATTTGAAGTATAATTTTTAAAAACCAATATTTTAAACTTAAACTTTTACATTTGCATTTTATATTTAAAATATTTTTTGATACTCAATTGTTTTGAGTTTAAAACTATTAAACTATTGTGGTATAAAATGTTTTACACGTGGTTTTATTTTAAATGTCACTATTTTTAAATACTAAAAAATTAAACTTTACCAATTTAATCTAAATTTAAATATTTTTTTAAGATTTAAAAAATTCTGCCCAAATAAATTATACTTGAGAAATTGTTTTTATTAAAGAATAATAAATTTATTGAAAATAATATTGTTTAAGTAATACAGAAGTGAACTGTTAGTTAGTAAATTTTGTCTTTTAATACATGATAGTTGAAAATATTTTAAATTTATAAATGTAAACCTAAACTTTTAAACCAATAAAATTTTAAATTAAAAAATTATTTAATAAATGTTAAAACGGCGTGCCATATACAAGGCTTGTTGGCGATGCCAAAAGTTATTAGATTGCACATTGCGCCCTTAATAATAAATTTGGGGATATAATCAGACTCAAACTCTCACCTGGTTCGCTCTGACGACAAAAACGACTGGTAATTTAGTATTTTTTTTGTTATGTACATATGTATGTAATAAAAATGTAATAAACTCCGTTTGTTTCCTCTCTAAACACATTTTATCAAAATTTGCCCGTAACAAACTCCTAATTAGTTAGTGTAAATGATTATATCAATTATAAACAGTCAAAAATACACAAGCGTTAGATTGTGCTTGGACACGTATGAATAGACCTTAATGCCGACGTCATATGCCATTGATGACGTGCACCTATGCAGATTTGACCGCGACTATAGATGTCTTTAGAATATCAATTAAAGCTGGTCAAAACTGTCTTAAGAATATGAAGGATATCAGCAAAAGCTATTATAACTGCCTTAAAAATGTCAATTTGAGCTAGAAATAACTGCCATAAATTTTAATTTGGGATAGATATAACTCTCATGAATGTCAACTTAAGATATATATAACTGCTTTAAGAATTTCAACTCAAGCTAGCTATAAGAATGTCCTTAAGCTAGAAATAACTTTCTTAGGAATATCAACAAGCTATAGTTGATAGTTTTAGATAGCTTAACTTGGCATTCTTAAGACAGTTTAATTTGATATTGTTAAGACAGTTACATCTAGCTGTTATTTCTAGCTTAAGTTGACATTCTCAAGACAGTTATACATTAATTTATCATTCTTAAAGCAAATATCTAGTTTAAATGACATTTACACACAGTTATAGCTTGCTTAAGTTAAGCTGCTTAACTTGACATTCTTTAAGTTTATATTTTTAAGACAGTTATATAGCAGCTTAACTTAAGCTAGCTATAACTGTGCTAAAAATGTCATTTAAGCTAGATATCTGTGAATGTTAAGACAGTTGCATACGTAACTTTTAACAATGTCAAGTTAAGCTGGCTATAACTATCTTAAAATTGTCAGCTAAAGCTAGATATAACTGCTTTAAGAATGTTAAATTAAGCTAGATATGCCTAAATTAAATATTTAAATAGGAAACAACCCCTAGTAGTAAACTTAAAAATAGTTATCTAATAAATAATTAAATAAAAAGATAATGATAATATGGAGCTTAATAACAACATAAATGTTAAAGATTGGATTATGTTCTATATGCAGTTTTTTAAGCTTGATAACAGTGTAATTATGCAATAATGATGCTAAAAACAGTGTAATATTATTTAAAAATGGCAAAAAATACAATTATTCAAGTTGAATATGTTGAAAATTCAACATAGGAAATATTTCATTAAATTTATTTGTGAGCCTATAATAGGTATTGCACTATTAAATAAAAACTTGTTTAATAAAATCTACCTACTATTATAAAAACTATATTGTTTTTTGTGTGGTTGTAAAATCAATATAAAAGGTATTATGCAGGGGTAGATTGAAAAAAGTATGTCAAGTGTGTGAGGTATACTACAAAACACTAGTCATGCCAAATAATTAATTACGAGAAGTAAAAAAAACAAAACTGTTTAGTGTCCTTTTTAAATAAAATGAAAATAAGTACCTTCAATGCCTTTGCTAATATACCCCATCTCCTTCGTGCAACTTTTTTCTTTTCATTGCCACTGCCAAACTTAACAACTTCATTTAAATCAATATCGCAATTTTTAGAATTTTTTAATCCGTATATATCTCTATTTTGGTCCATAGAATGAGCATTAATTTTTAGCATGTTTTATGCCTGCAAGGCAATCAAAAATTACACATCAATTATTCTCCTTCATGCTTTTATAACAAACACGAACATATTATCTGTGCTTATAATATAAACAAGCTATTTAAAAGTCAAGTAATTGAATCCCAAAATAAAAAGGGTACTTAAAAACAAATGGTATCGTTAACAAATAGATAATTTACTTACATTTTACTTAATTGGTATTTTTAGATTTCCTTTCTTTTATGTTTTTCTTTTAATTATTTATTTTACATCTTATTTTAAACAACCAAATAAAAAAGTATTAAATTATTGAATTTTACTTTTGACAACTGACACAAACTCACTACCAACATAACAAAACACAATCAATAAACTTTGAAACAAGAATTTTTTATTTATTTAAACTTTTATACATTAAAAACCTATTATTAAATAAAAATACAAATCCCATAAAGAATTTACGTTTAACAACAAAACAGTAAAATCGCAATAAAAATTATGAAGTTCTCTGGTTCTAACGTTGGCAGCACTTAAAAATGTCTATGGCAACGACGGAAGGTGCTGTGGTGTTTAAAGTTTTTCGCCAAAATGGAAATGGATTTAACAAAAAGATGTCGCGCCTGTTTAAACGAAGAGCCCGAAATGCATTATTTATTCGCCGAGTTCGATAAAGGCCTAACCTTGGCGGAAATCCTGCAAAATCTCAACTTCGAGGTAAGTGGTCTTTGACGTAACCAGAGGCGGGAAATTTGAATGTGCTTGTTTTGTAGGTTTGCGAAAACGATGGTTTTCCGCCGCTTCTATGCCAGAACTGCACTGTTATTATAATTGACTTTTTTAACTTGAAGACGATTTATTTGGAGAATGAGGGGCCTTTGAAAGCGATGATTAGTCAGGCGGAGAAACATGAGGAAATCCAGGAATTTTGTGAAACAGAGTTAAAAGAGAATATAAAAATTGAAGAAAATTATGAAGAAGAAGCTCTAATTGAAGAAGCTTTAATTGAAGAAGAAAATGGTAAAAATGAAGAAAATAGTAGTAATGAAGAAACGTTAATGTTTGTTGTGGAAAAAAATGAAGAAATAAAAAATAGTGAATTTAAACAAAAAAACGCAGCAGGCGATATAGAAGAAAAACCTTACAGAAAAGATGTAAACTTAATTAAACCTTGGATTTGTGATATTTGCGGAAGTAGCTTTAAAAAAAAATCTGATGTGGTAAGTCACTGTGAGGGACATTCAACTGTGAGAAAATACACTTGTCCCTACTGTGGAAAAACTTTTAAACGCCGCACAGTGCTAGTTAAACATGTACGAATACATACAAACCCTGGTGAATCAATGTGTGAATTATGCGGTAGAGCCTTCAACCATAAAGCTACATTAAAAACACACATAAAGCTTATACATGAAAAATCGCGTAACTTTTTATGTAAGCTCTGCGGACTATCATTTCCACTAAAAGCAACATTGGATAAACATGTCTTACGACACAACCCAAACCGTAAGAAAAACTTCAAATGCGATCTCTGCTTTACAGCATACACAGACAAATCAAGTTTAAAAAGACACAAAATCGTAACACACTCCAACAACAAAGTAAAATGTGAATGCGGAAAACAATACACAACAGTTACAAATTTACAAAAGCACAAAAGAAGACACCACCCTAGCTCCAACACAGAAGAATTAAACAAACTTATGATAGGTTCAAAGTTATAAGTTCAAGACCATAGAGAAAGTCTATGTTCAAGACTGTCTAAACCCTTAAATAATAAGAATTATTTGTTTTATCCTTGGTTTTATTGTGTTTTTTACCCTATTTTATTTAAAAAGTCAATTATTAAGACTTCTAGCGTCGAGTCAATGCTTCTATAGTTTTTGACAGATGAGTCATATAACATGCTAAGAATCTATCTATGCTGAGAATCAGCATAAATTAGATGAGGCATCTCAGACGACTTCTTTCAATAGTTTTTGACAGATGAGTCATATAACATGCTAAGAATCTATCTATGCTGAGAATCAGCATAAATTAGATGAGGCATCTCAGACGACTTCTTTCAAGGAGATTTGTTATATGGGAGATTCTTACCAGGGTGTTCTTTCACCCTGATTCTTACTGAGATGACTCGCATGACAGCTTAACTTTGTAAAATTTTGACAGATGACAGTTCAGAGTTGCCAAATTCACTTTATATTGACGTTAAAACAAGATTAATTAATCTCGTATACTTCCTTTTGCTGTTCATAAACATTGCTTTCTTAACATGAACGTTCTGAACTTTTGTGATTTTAAACGTTCTTTGCGTTATAAAGAACTCAAACATCAGGGAGTTTAAACTTCTAACGTTGGCAGCGCCTAAAAATGTCTATGGCAACGACGAAAATCGGTGTGGTGTTTAAAGTGTTTCGCTAAAATGAAAATGGATTTAACTAAAAAATGTCGCGCCTGTTTAAACGAAGACCCCGAGATGCACTATTTATTCGCCGAGTTGGATCAAGGCCTCAGCTTAGCGGAAATCCTGCAAAATCTAAACTTCGAGGTGATAAAGCGGTCGATGACGTATCAGAGGCGGGAAATTTAAATTTGATTATTTTGTAGGTTTGCGAAAACGATGGGTTTCCGCCGTTTTTATGCCAGAATTGCACTGTTATTATGATTGATTTTTTTAATTTGAAGACGATTTATTTGGAGAATGAGGGGCATTTGAAAGAGTTGATAAGTCAAGCGGAGAAACAGGCTGAAATCGAGGAATTTTGTGAAGAAGATTTAAATGATAATGAAGAACTTGAAGAAAATTATGAAGAAGCTTTAATTGAAGATGAAAATAGTAATAATGAAGAAACGGTTATGTTTGTTGTGGAAGAAAATGATGAAGAGATCAAAGATAGTGAATTTAAATATGAATATTTATCAAATGAAGAATTGTTCAAAAAAAAACAAAAGAATTTAATACCAAAATACTCCACAGACGATATAGAAGAAAAAACTACTTACTTAACATACAAAAAAGATGTAAACTCAAAAAAACCTTGGATTTGTGATATTTGTGGAAGTTGCTTTAATAGAAAATCTGATTTGTTGGATCACAGTGAGTCACATTCAAGTGAAAAAAAATACATTTGCCCCTACTGTGGAAAAAGTTTTAAACGCCGCACAGTGCTAGGTAAACATGTAAGAATACATACACACCCTCGTGAAGCAATATGTGAATTGTGTGGGAAAGCCTTCAATGATAAAAGTACATTAAAAACGCATATAATGCTTATACACGAAAAATCGCGTAACTTTTATTGTAAGCTATGTGGACTATCATTTCCACTAAAATCAACATTGGAAAAACATGTCTTACGACACAACCCAAATCGTAAGAGAAACTTCAAATGTGATCTCTGCTTTACAGCTTACAGAGACAAATCGAGTTTAAAAAGACACAAAACCGTAAAACATAGCAATAACAAAGTAAAATGCGAATGCGGCAAAGAGTACACAACAATTACAAATTTACTGAAGCACCAAAGAAAATATCACACGGGCTTCAACGACAACGATTTAAACAAAGTTATAATACAGGTTGAAGTTCAAGACAGTCAATAACCTTAAATAATAAAGAATTAATTGTTTTATTGTGTTTTTTTTACTTTGTTTTTATTAGTAGGTCAATTGTTAAATTTTCTAGATTTTGACGGATGACAGTTTGGCGTTGCCAAATCAAGTTTATATTGACGCTAAAACCAAATTAATATTGTACATTTTAAAAATAATTGTGCAAAAATTCCTTCTTTACGACATATACGTAATATAATTGGACAATTGTGTGGTTTTAATTTGCTTAATTTTAAAATTTCTCAAAACAAAGCTGAGTTTGTCAACAAGGCATAGATGTCGCTGGTGACATTTGTTGACGTTTATTATTCACAAATTTGTCATACAACAAAAATTTGCAATAAAAGCAAGAGAAGATAGATTGTTTATCACACAGGAAGTAACCATGATTAGTTTCCAGTTGGTTCGTTAATGGTTAATGATCTTAATTTAATTCGTGGACCATTTTTTTAAAGGTGCTTTGTTGTAAAAATGTCACACCACAGAAGAGATTACAGAAGACAGCCTACTAGTAATTTTACGTACGTTAGCCCGTGCGTCAAGTACTTGATTTTTTTGCTTAATTTTGTCTTTTGGGTGAGTAAAAATAATCATTGTTTTGTGGGTGACCCCCTTTGTCAAACTGTTAACTTAACAAGTGTTTTTTTAGTTATTTGGGGGCCTTTTAATAGGCATTGGTTTGTATGCCTTCGTTGATAAATGGCAGTTAACAGGACTTGTAAAGTTGGATAATATTTATGATGTCATCCTTAACATTTCTTTGGTTATGGTGATAATGGGAGGAGTTGTTTTTATTGTTAGTTTTGCTGGATGTGTGGGGGCCCTTAGAGAGAATACCTGTCTACTGCAATTTGTAAATAATTTACTTAAAGTAATAATAAAAAATATATAGTGTTTTTTAGTATTCACTTTGTTTGCTGATATTTTTCCTGTTGGAAATGGGAATTGCGATTGTCGGATTTGTTTTTCCAAGATCTATGCAGAGTGTGTTGGAGGAAAATTTCACAGACAAAATCATACACACATACAGGGATGACCCCGATTTACAGAATTTTATTGATTTTGCTCAAATGGAAGTAAGTATAAAAAATTGACCCAAAATTCATATGAATTTTAATACTTTGCATTTTTTTAGTTCAGATGTTGTGGTTTGAGCTCAGAAGGTTACATGGACTGGTCAAAAAATGAATATTTTAATTGCACTTCTCCAAGTGTCGAGCATTGTGGAGTACCATTTTCTTGTTGTATTAATGCAACAGATATCAGCTCCCGATTGGTCAACATAATGTGTGGATATGGTGTGCAAACATTATCGGTAAGAAAGTATTTTATTTTAAAAAATTAACGAAAAAATACATGTTTTATTATCCAATTCAAACCATGGTTTTGCATATTTAAAAATGTATATGACATTTTAAAATGCAAAAAGTAATTTTTAAAATTAAAAATTTGTTCAGAATGTTTATTTTTTATCAGAATGTATGTCAAAAACCCATTTGAGAAAGTAACAAAAACATACAGATTGTCAAAAAAACATTTTACATCTTATTTAGAAATTCTAATTCTAAAATGCAAAAACCCGGTTAAGAAAGAAAAAAATACGTACGATTTTCAAAAACATTAAAGAATGTCAAAATTAAATTGAAGTTGATCAGAAACACATTTTTTCATGCCAAAATCATAACTATGTCAAAATAATACTTAAGTTTGTAAAATCAAATATTACAATGCTTTTAAACCCATTTTGGAAAGTTACATGTACTTGTAGATTGTCAAAAACACATTAAAAAATGACAAGAACAATTTTGAATGCTAAAATAATAATATTGAAAAATAATAGGTGTCAAAAGCAAAATTTGAAACGCTTTAAAACCCATTTTAGAAAGATGCAAAAACTCTGAGATTGTCAAAAACACATCAAACACACAATTTTAAGAGTTTGATAAATAAATAACAGTGGGCTGTGACAGGGAATTCCGCGGTGGGAATGTAGTAAAAATAAAAAGTTGTATTTTAATCAAAAATTGACTACTTTATTACAAATTAAAGTACCATTAAAAACTAAAAACAACATAGAAAGTAAATAAACAACAATAGAAATTGTAAATTTTTGTTATAATGGCAAAATAAAGGTTAAAAACTCATATTTGTATGTTTCTTAAGTTGGCAGCACGAAATTTGACGTTTTTAAAAAGTTCCTAAAAAAATTGTTTTTTTTGATTTCCAAAATAATAAGGTATGTCAAAATCATATTTTAAAATGTTATAAAAAGTTAAATTGCCAAAATTAAACAAGGTGTCCCTGAAATACATGTACAAAATGATACCACATATTCCTCAAAGTAATAAAATTAACCTCAATACAAAACTTGATAATAACCAAGATACATGGTCTCAAAGTTCAAAGTTTGTTTTCGAATTTATTTAGAAAATATACGCTAAAGAAGCATCGCTAGTAGCGCCACCACTTGACCGTTATTATCGTAACCAGAATTCAGCTTTTAATAAGGAGCTGTCAAACGCTTGTGTTACAAACGAGTGTTTTTGATAATAAAGCCGGAAAATGTTAAAAATATCGGGGAAAAAACCGTGGCACGATTTGTTGTGTTGTTTGGTGTTTTTCGAGAGGAAATCCTGGGTTGAGTTTTTACCGGTTTACCAATAAACAGTGGAAATCCGAATAAAGAAATAAATTGCATACAGTCCCTGTACATTTAGTACATTTTAGTAATGATTTACGTGAAAATTGTAAACATTTCAATTCAGTAGTCTAAATTCAAACAGCATTTAGCATTATTAAAAGCGTTGATTAAGAAAGTCTTCACTCAACAGTTAAATACCAAGAACCGGTATTATATTATGTGTTATGTGTATGCAGTTATCGGCGTTTTTTAGAGGACTCAAATATAAAAATATTCGATTTTAAGGTTATGTTTGTACAACAATTACCTATATTTGTTTGATTTCTTAAAAATTTCCAAACTTAAATATAAATTATATTAGGTAAAGTTATCATTGGTTAATTCTGCACCAACAAATATACGAACCTAATTGGATCCTTTGACAAAACATGAAAATGCAATGATTTATTTTTTGAATTTTATTAACAATTAAAATCACAATAATAAAATACACCCACTAAGTTAGTGGGTTACTACAAACTTTTGTATAGTGTTTTAGAAAGTTACAAATACATAGATTGTCGAAAATACTTTAAAGAATGTCAAAAAGCATTTTAGAATCTTGAAATCATATAAGTGTCAAAATCATATTTTTGTCTGTCTAAAATACATTTTTGAATGTCAAAAGAAATATTTTCTTAAAAATGTCAAAATCATGTTTGAGATTGTCAAATTTGCTTGAAACATTTCAGAACCACAATAAATACCTAAAATAGGCCAAGACTAGGGTTTTAAAATTTCCGGAAAAATTGAGCCGGCAGAAAAAAAACCGTTTTTTCCTGAAAAAAACGGAAAATTTTCAGAAAAATTGACTTTTTAATTTTTTAAATTTTATTCAAAGGGTAACATGAAAAAAATTTTGAATATTTCAAAATTTTTACGCAAAAATTCTATATTAACATAACTTTTATTTAACACTTAGATTTATAAAATTATAATTTTGTTATTTAACTTTATAATTCATTCATTATTTTTTAGTTAGATATTTTTAATTGGCTCCTTTGTGCAACAAAAAACCCAACAGACAGTATATTTCACTTTTAAGTTTATTTTATTTAATTTAATTAAATGTTTTATTTTTTATATAATAAAGGATTTTTTATCATTTAAAATAATGTGGTTGATTGCTACTTTTTTTTCAAATGTGGATTTAAAAAAAAAATTTCCCAAAAAAGCTAATTTTTCCAAGGCCTGGGAAAAAACGAAAAAAAACAGTTTTTTCCATTTTTCCGGTTTTTTTCCGACACTTTAAAACCCTAGCCAAGAAACAATTTGTGTCAAAAATGCTTACTAACATTTTTTTCAGGTCGCCGAGGCCAGTAAAAAGGTGTGGCCCTCGGGATGCATAGAGATCGTGAGATCTTGGGCCGAAAGGAATTTGTACACCATCGCGGGCATCGCCCTAGTGGTGGCGCTCTCTCAACTGTTTGTGATATACCTGGCGAAAACTCTAGAGGGCCAGATCGAGTTGCAAAAATCCAGGTGGGCCAGTTGAAATTTAGGGTATCCGTGTAAATACGTCAACGTCCAGCAGTTTTAGGTGTTCTGTGTTTTTTCATTCGTATTTTATTCTTTTTCGTTTCTTAGCTTGGTCACTATAAGAATAAGTCTTTAGGCTTACAGAGGTGAACCAACAAAAACACCCTGTATGACTTAGTGACTGGGCTATTTAAATTGTAAATTAAAGCCATAGCTGTAAGGTATTGTAAGGAAAATATTTTTCTCTTTTTATTTTTACTGTTTTAACTGTTTTTTGTATAAAAAAAATCAAACGCGTAGAAGAACTTAACTTCATTTAAGGCATTTTTACTTACCTAAATATTTGTAAAACTAAAATGGTAACATAATTAAAATTTGCAAATTTATCACAAAATTAAATTATGTAACTTAACGGTTTTCGGGATATAACACAACTTTAAACCGACTGCGCCATTTTCGTTATTGTGTCCACTAATGCACAAAAGTATTGCGTATTAAATACCATCTAGCATATTTTTACTATACAATAGGTAACTGATATTTCCAACTTTACTTTCCTCAGAGATAATTTTCTATAAAAATTAAATAATATGCAATACATTTGTTCAAGAGTCCTTTGTTTTATTAAAACTGTAACTATTCTTGATAAGACGTAACATTCCATGACATTAAGTAAGTATGGCTGACTGATTTGAGCTCTTAAAAAATAAAAATACTTAACTTGAATAGATAAAGATATATTTTCTTCCAAAATTAGACATAAAATGTACAAATTTATCAAAAAAATCTCAACTTTACGAAATAATTTTTTAATGTTAAATTTTAATCATATATATTATAAAAGTAGCTTAATATAATGTAAAATACTCTCTCAATTTTTAGTAGTACTTTATAGGGTGCCAAATTTAGCACAATAAGAAACGGGGATTTTCAACAAATAAAACCAATCGAAACATTTTGGCTTCTTGTACGTTTATTGTTTTGTTTTTTGTGCAATATTTTGTTCCATCCATTATTTTAATCGATATTTTGTTTTACAGTTACTATAAATACTCGCGGTATAACAGCCTTTAATTGATACTCCAAAAATATTAACAAAAATAGCAATAATCTATTCTAAATCCCCCCTCCATTGGATTCTCATTTGTTACTCTAATTTAGAAAAATGGAATATGAAAATTATGCCAATAAAATATTGGAAAAATTTGAAAAATGTGATTTATTGTAAAATAATCATTATTTTAGAAGAAGCACTTCTATTTCTTAAATAGCATACTATTTTTATGATGTACTGTATATGTTAGCGTATTTGTAAAAAATATTATATAATACATAATGTATGTTTTTACAAGACAGTCTTATTTTAATACCTCCAAATAAAAACACTTTATTGTGGATATTAGTTTTATTTAATTATATACCTAAAATATGTCTTCTTAAATGCATGTACCATGTACACCCGAATTTGTCCTTTTATTTTTTAAATTTATTTCAGTGTGCGAAGTCGCCCTTTCAGTTATAAAAATTATCCCACAGTGCAAATTTTTCCTACCATTTTTTTAAATTTGTCCCACTGTTAATATTTGTCCTACCATTTTTTAACTTTGTCTCACTGTGCGAACTTGTCCTTTAATTTTTCAAATTTATCCCACTGTGCAATTTTTTCCTCCGATTTTTTAAATTTATTTCACTGTGCGAATTTGTCCCAATAATTTTTAAATTTATCCCACTGTGCGAATTTGTCCTACCATTTTTCAAGTTTAACCCAATGTGCGAATCGTCCTTTTTTTGTTTAAATTTATCCCACTGCGAATTTTTCCTACCATATTTTAAATTTAACCCAATGTGCGAATTTGTCCTCTCACTTTTTAAATTTGTCCCCTGTTTCCACTGAGCGAATTCGTCCTTCCATTTTTTAAATTTGTCCCACTGTGAGAATTCGTCCTTCCATTTTTAAAATTTATCTCACAAATAGTAAGTATTTTTTAAATTTAACCCAATGTGCGAGTTTGTTTTCCAATTTTTTAAATTTGTCCCTCTGTGGGAATTTGTTCTTTCATTTTTAAATTTACCCCACTGCGCGAATTTGAACCACCATTTTTTAAATTTGTCCCACTGTGCGAATTCGTCCTTTTATTTTTCAAGTTTGTCACAGTTTGCAAATTTTTCCTACCATTTTTAAATTTATCCATCTGTGCGAATTTTTCCCACCATTTTCCAAATTTATCCCACAGTGCGAATTCATCCTTACATTTTTTAAATTTATCTTACAGTGCGAATTTGTCCTTCTGTGCGAATTTGTTCTCCCATTTATAAAATTTATCTCACTGTGCAAATTTTTCCTACCATTTTTTAATTGTGTAAATTTGTTCTCCCATTTATAAAATTTATCCCACTATGCAAATTTTTCCTACCATTTTTTAAATTTAACCCAATGTGCGAATTTGTCCTCCCATTTTTTAAATTTGTCCCCCTGTGCGAATTTGTCCTTTCATTTTTTAAATTTATCCCACTGTGCTAATTTCTCCTTTCATTTTTTAAATTTACCCCACTGCGAATTTAAACCCCCATTTTTTAAATTTGTCCCACTGTGCGAATTCGTCCCTTTATTTTTTTCCACCATTTCTTAATTTATCCATCTGCAAATTTCTCCCACCATTTTCCAAATTTATCCCACCGTGCGAATTTGTCCTTTCATTTTTAAAATATATCTTACTGTGCGAATTTGTCCTTTCAATTTTTAAATTTATCCCACTGTGCGAATTTGTTCTTCCATTTATAAAATTTATCCCACTGTGCAATTTTTTTCAACCATATTTTAAATTAAACCCAATGTGCGATTTTTTAAAATTTATTCCCCTGTGCTCAAAAATCCTTAAAAATAGATACAGGTAGTTAATTAAATTTCTGGAGTTATTACCATACCTAATTTAGAATAATTGAAATTTTTACCATTTTTTAAATTTGTCCTTCCATTTTTTTTAAATTTATCCCTCTGTCCAAATTTGTCCCACTGTGCGAATTTGTCCTCCCATTTATAAAATTTATCTCACTGTGCAAATTTTTCCTACCATTTTTTAATTTGTCACTCCCACCGTGCGAATTTGTCCTCTCATTTTTTAAATTTGCCCCACTGTGCGTTTTTTATAAAATATTGTATGCAGCGCCATCTATTTCAATAAGACTGAACTAAAAAAGTTTTGTTCCAAACCCAAATTTTGTTCAGCCATTCTGGGATAGATGGCGCTGCAATTAAGTATTTTGTAGGTAGGCAACCCAGTTAAATTATGTGCGTTACTTGATTGCCTACCTTAAAATATTGTTGACAGCGCCATCTATTTTAGTGTGACTAAACTAAAAATGCAAAAATAAAAACCTCAAAAGGCGCCATCTATGTAAAAAAAATCCAAACAAAAAGTTTCAGTTTTAGTTCAGCCATACAGTGATAGATGGCGCTGCTAACAACATGGTTTAACTTGGTTGCCTACCTACAAAGTACTTAATAGCAGCGCCATCTATCCCAGAATGGCTACAACAAAACTTTTTTAGTTCAGTCATACTGAAATAGATGGCGCTGCATATTTTAAACAAAACGCACAGTGGGACAAATTTAAAAAAATGAGAGGACAAATTTGCACAGTGGGACAAATTTAAACATTGGGAGGACAAATTCGCACAGTGGGACAAATTTAAAAAATGAAAGGACAAATTCGCACAGTGGGACAAATTTAAAAAATGGAAGGACAAATTTGCACAGTGGGATAAATTATTAATATATATATAAATTCGCACACTGGGATAAATTTCAATTATTTTAAATTTTGTATCGTAATAACTTCTATTTTTAAGGATTTTAGCGTATTTGTAAAAATATTATATAATACATAATGTATGTTTTTACAAGACAGTCTTATTTTAATACCACAAAATAAAAACACTTTATTGTGGATATTAGTTTTATTTCATTATATACATAAAAATATGTCTTAATACTTGCATGTACCATGTAGGGGCAGTAAGAGAAAATAATATTTCAAAATAGTACTGCCAAACCTCAAAATGTGAAATTAATGAAATATATGGGATATGTTATAACTAAAATTATTTTAAAACATCTAAAATGACGGTCTATAGATAGTCTATAGACATATATGTTACATAGCTGTCTAGACTATGTATGACTCATTTTATAAAATAAAAAAGTGGTTTGATATTTTCCTGACTACATGCATACAAGAACAGGTAATCTTGCATCATTCATATCACATTTTCAGTTATTTTCCAACAAATGCACATCCAAAACGCAGAAAATCGATCGGCACATCGGACAAGTGCACTTTGAAGACATCCATTCGCTTTTTTTCTCAGGGTCCTGCCTAGAGGCGAACCATTGACCCATGCATTGTAAGCACCAAGACGGTCTGCATTGACAAGTCGTGCAATTTTGCGCTTCGTTCACGTCTTGACAATTTTTTTTCAGTTTTACGTCGGGAAGCGCCTGAAAACACCCTATGCACCTTTCTTCGCTTTCCTAAAAGATATATTGTCACTTATATATATCATCATAAAATTGTTATTATTAACAAAATTACATCTAATTTTTTAAAACTAAATGTCAGGTTTATATACTGTTCTCTTATAGGTGGCTTTAAAAATATAATAACCACTAAAATTTAATTTAAAAAAAATGGTAATGGTAAAGGAAATTTCGTCTTAGATTTTCGCAAGGAATTGTACTTGTAGAATCTTTAAAATAAATATAATTATACTAATAATTTATGCTTATTGCATTATATTTGCAACCAAATTTATTTTCCTAGTTTATTTTTTTTTAAATAGTAGTTAAAATTACAAAAATAGTGGGAGAAATTGCAGTCGCATAAATTTAAACAAAAAACCGTGTTTTTTTAAAGGCTTATAAGCCTTATAAATAAGAAAATTGTTGTGTACCTATATTTTTATATATTCATTAAAATACAAAAAAATTCAATTTATTTTTAAAAACTAAAAAACTTCTTGTCAAAGATGTTTTTTTATTTAGATTAACCTTCACATGATGTAACATTTTATTTTTTTTTTGTTCCATCCTATGATTTTTTTAAAAATACTTCATTTACCTCTGTTGGATGATATTTGGGATTTTCATTTACAACTTTTTTAAATTCGTGTATAAACTGCTCAGCATCAGTCCTATGTATGGTAATACCAGTTGAAATAGGAATTCTTCTTTGTAATTGAGACTCTAACTCTCTAAATGCCAAAATATTTAACAAAATATTAAAGTTTTCAAATTTATTGTTTCTTGATTTAACTTCCAATTTTAACACTTGATTTTCTGAGTAATCCTGCGCCAAACTGAACAATCTTGATTCAACAACTTGAATATTTGTATCTTCTAGTTTTGCTATATGTGTTACAAATGGGCAAATTTTTAACACCCAGCTATCTGTTACCACTAATGTTACAATTGGGTTTATTTTAAGAGAAACTTTTGTGATCCTAAAAATTGTTATGTTTAGATACCACCTGTTTGTGCAAAATATAATATACCTAATTACCTTCTATACTCTGTATTTATTTCTGATGCCAATGTTTCCCAATTTTCACTTTCCGAGGCAAATTTAGACAAATTTTGGACTGTAGGATGACTTTTATAATTATTAGAAACCCAGTTATAAATTTGATACATGGCAAACATAGGTAAAACAATAGCTGTGGTAGTAAAGCATTTTATGATTAACGATGTATCGGAGAACAAAAATGAGAACTAAAAATTAATAATTAACAATTAAAGTGTATAAATCTCTAAGCTTAACATACCTCCACGTAATTTAAGTACAATATCATTAAAATATACACAAGAGGAAGCATAGAATATACAAATAAAGATAAAATAGATCGTTTCAGATGATATTGTAATATATTTTCCAATGGATTTCCTAAAAACTTTGAAAATAAATTCTCTATAGTTAATCCAACAGCCACAAACTCCGCAGGGGGGTAAATAAGCCCAGCACTTATAATAAAATAGAAAATTGTAAATAATTCCAGGGCCATTTTATTAATTTTTAAACCTAAAAATATTTCGTTAAAAACATTTTAGTAAATTATTATTATTATTTACCTTGTATTTGATTACTTTTTAGCTAATTATTAAATTTTTAGTAATAATTTACTCATATTTATTACGATAAATAAATATGTGGGCAAAATTAGTTCATCCAATCAAAACATAACAACGGGTCATTTTAACTACTTTTCGAAACGTCAACCAAAAAGGTGGGCGAAGAAATAAATAAACTTTTTCATTCATACAGGTGTAATCTGGGTTGCCTACTGTGTAGACCTTATTAACAGGTTGTTTAAGGACTACTTTTCTAAATTCGAATTTAATTACTTGTGCAGGTAAGAATATCACCTGTTCTTTTTTAATCAAGTGATTCATAGGTTGTCTTATTCATTCTAAAGTGTGTTTGGGTGTGGGAAATAAACGAACTTATCTTCTATGTTTTTGTGGTTTTTGTGATAAAAAATGATCCCGAAAGATAGGACTTATCTTTGTTTATCGCTTTTAATATTGTTTAGTTTGATTGTTATTAGCGCAGGTAATTTTTAGATTTAAATTTGTCGAAATTTGCGATTTCATAGGAATAGCGTTGAGGAAGGCGGGGCCCTTGCATGTTTTTAACATTATTTTAGTTTATTTAAATCGTTATTTTCTTAGTTTCAGCATATTTACTAAACCATATTACCAAACGTTAGTACCATTATTAATTTTATTTACTAATTTTGTTCCTTTTTGCATGTTTTATCATTCATTAGTCATTTTTTAAATAAGTAATACAAGAGTTGGCTTAAATTGTCTCTGAACCAATCAAATACTAGTAAAGGTGGCTGTGAACCAATTAACTATAGTTTAAAAGGTGGCTATAAACCAATCGAAAACATTTTGACTAACCCAATTATTTGAACCAATAAAAACCACGAATTTTAGGGCAAAACTTCTGGAAAATCTCGCAACCGAATGTAAGCAACAAGCAAACACGCGACACAAACAAAATAATATGGTGCACAATCAGCAGGGCAGAGTTTCAAAAATGCAGAAACTTTGCCATGGCAACCGAAAGGGACAGAATAAGGGTTGCTTATGATACTTTAACACTTAGCTGTGTCCAGGTATTTACAATTTGACTTTTAAGTGACGTAATATTAAGTTGTGACGTTTTAGGCAACCAACAAAGATGAATGCATGGCATTACTTGATGAAGAAAAGGCCACCATGACCACCTTGGATGCTGGGGCTATTTTTATCGGTGGTAGATATCATAGTTTAGTTCCAATCGCCCAGGAGGTTATGGAAGGTGGTTTTAATTATTATTTTGCTGTTGCTGTGGTGAAAAAAGCTACATTAACTGATGTTTTCTCTTTAAGAGATTTACGTGGAAAGAAAGCTTGTTTTGCTGGTGTTGAAACTTATGCTGGATGGGTTTTACCAATAAATACAGTAAGTTTCTTGTATTTAATATTAACTAGCTAGAAAAACAAGAATAATATAAATTTAATATTCTTTTTTTCTTATAGTTGATGAAAATAGGTGGCATGGACATTATAGATTGTAATAACCATGTTAAGACAGCTTCAAACTACTTTGGATCATCTTGTGCAGTAAACTGTTTGTCGGACAAGTACAATCCGATTGGTGATAATTCGGATAGGCTTTGTCAGTTGTGTATCGGTAAAATACCTGGTGGTAGATGTACGGATACTGATCCATATGCTGGTTATGAAGGTGCTTTCAGGTGTTTGCTGGAAAGTGGGGATATAGCATTTTTAAAGCATAATACTGTCAGTGAGGCCATTGCTGGGATGGATTATGGTGAGTTTTTTTTGTAAAGGGTTTAATGAAAACAAAGTTTTGGAATTACTTATACATTCTCTGATGATTTTCCATGTCTATTATATTTTATTTTAGTTTAGGTACCTATCTGTTTTTTTTAAATTTTATACAAACTATTAATTTTTTTAGTTTATTTCTAAAATACCAAAATACTTTTTCTTTTTTAAATAATTAGCAATTTTCTTTTTTAAGTTTTTTTTGTCTAATTCAAATATGAATTTTCTTTTTTTTTGTAAATTTGGCGATTTTTCTTGATAATAGATTTTATACAGTGTGGGGAAAGTGGAGGCATAAAATCTCAAACCTTTAAAGGTTTGAGATTTTATGCCTCCTAGTAATTACTATATATATATGTATATATACTACTATTATAGTAGTGATGTATACTTTACTAGTACATACGTTATTGTGGGAGGGATTACACTGTAATCCCTCCCACAATGTGACTGTAATTATTACAGTCACATTGTAATTATTGCCAAACAAAACATATTAATAAAGTTTTAAGGTTTTATAAGTAGCTCAGGTACCAATGACCCGCGCACGCGTAGTGAATTAAAAGTAGTTCGATATTAAGTATAAATTTTATGCCTTTTGGGGAAACACCATCTTCTGTGCCACACATTACACTTAAATAAGGCATAATTGACAGTTATTCTCAAAAAATCAAAACTTTAAAGTTTACTTTAGTCATTGTTTTTAAGGGAAGTTATTTATTGAATTATAAGTTTTTTAAGGCTGAATTTTATTAGTATTATTTTAATGTTTCAAATATTAATTATTTAATAAAATAATAAACCCCCTATGGCCTTAAACAGAGAACAAATTTACATATGAAGCGGTAAGAAGCAGAAGCAGAAGCTAGGGTACAAGTGCAAAAAAGAGAATTGGAGTTATTAACTTTCAAAGTTTTTGCTATATATATACAAAAATCTGGATTCTTGTATCAATATTGTTGTTTGCATTAACCAACATGCAGAACTTACAATTTTCACGTTATGAGAACATTTTTTAAAAAATTTTGACTACAAACCACCCAATTCTGCACATAACTTATTTTTATGCTAAAATGAACTTGAACTCTATTGCTTTTTACCCCTTCATACATCCATCTCACAATTTTTGTAAGCCCCTATATTTTGACTAAAACTAACCCTATTAAAAATGCCATATAGAAACACAAAATAAAAATCTATCTGGTTCAATATAGGAATTTGAAACAGGCATTGCACTATTGAACCAGATATAATTCCATACCTGAAAAACCATATAGAACAGTGATTTCTATATGGATTGCCATATAGGTTCATATTGCTCTATCTGGCCCAATATGGTTTGGGTGTGAAAAAATTATTACCATATAGATCCATATCTAACCATATAGGGGAATCTATATGGTTTAATATGCAATTTTCGTTTAAATTTATATACATTTTAAAATGGAATTCCATATTCAACCATATAGGGAAACCTATATGGAAAGACACATAAAACAGAAACCAGATAAATCCATATAAAAATCCCTAAGTTGTACATTTTAAAATGAAATTCCATATTAAACCATATAGATTCCAAAGTGTAAACCAGGTCGTTCCATATAGGACATATAGAACCATATAAATCCATATTAGTTTCCTTATCTGGATCAATATGGGTTCTATAGGGCATTTTTAATAGGGAACACTCAAACCAACATCGTTGCTAACAAAACTTTATTTAGCCGGACTAAGCCCCGACGGATTCGAACTACTCTGCACCGACGGGTCCAGAAGACCCATAACGGACCACCTGGGCTGCAACTGGGGCAAAGTGCCCACGGACGCCGTAGTCACCTCGTCCGCCGTGTCGTTCGAACACCGCATCAAGTACCAAAAGTTCCTCGAAAAGGCCTCGCAAATCTACTTCAAACGCAACGGCACTTACAGCTCCAGACCAGAATTCGACCAATTCGGAAATAAAGTCAACAATCGATTTGATAACGATGATAGTAATAATCCTAGGCCGGAGTTGGATCAGTATGGAAACAGAATTTACGATAATCAGAATGATAACGACCAGAATTACGGGGTTAACCCCAATAACCCCGGCGAAAGACCGGACTTTGACCAATTCGGCAACAAAATAAACCGATTCAAACGTCAAAATTTCGGCGATTTTGGTACGAACCCCTACGATAATAATCCCTCGAGAAACAACGATAATCCCTACGCAAACGGTGACAATCCGTACTCCCAGAACAACAACAGGGACAATCCCTATTCGTCAAACACCGATAATCCCTACACCAATAACAACAACAGGGATAGAGGCAGCAATCAAGAGCTCTACGGTAACGATAGAAACCCCAACTCGAACGCCAACTTCGATCCCTACGGAAACAGGGGAACGTACATCGATCCTTACGAGACGGACGATAAACGTAAAAATCAGGACGATCAGTTTTCGAGGGATCCCTACACCTTGAATAGGGATAATTATGGGGATAACATCGATCCGTATAGTAGGGATCCCAAGCCCAATAAAGATATCGATCCTAGTTATTTTAATAACACTTATGGCGGGCCAAATCCGAATAGTACTTATTATGAGGTTTTTAGTATGTTTGAAAGTACTCCACGGTATGGGCAGCATGGCAATTTGCTTTTCCAGGTAAGATTTAACATTTTTATGGATTTTTTTCTAAATTTACAGGATTTTACTGAAATGTTGCCTTGTTTTACGTTATTTTGAGTTTTCCTTGTTTTTGAGTAAGGCTTTTTCTACTTCATGATTTTAAATTATTTTTAGTGAAATATTAATAAAAAATTAGAAACACTAGAAAAAATATAAGATTATTGATACATATAACTTTTTAAAAATTAAATTGTGAACTTTTTCTTCATGTTTTGATTTGTTTTAAAGATTTTTTCTTATATTATAAGATTTTACTTCAGTTTTGCCTTATTTTAAATTATTTTTTTGTTCAATCCATTTTCAAGGAATACATTTCGATTTATAACCTTTCTAATCTGTGATTATAACACATACAAATTTGACATTTGACGGTAAGACAAATTCCCCTATTGTTTTATAGATGGCGCTGTATACAACTATTTGATTTAAATCATTTTAAGATAATAATAAGTATTTGTCGTAGAAAAAGTATAATATGCACCTCGTTTATAAACTTTTCTAGACACTCATTAATTTAAGCACTCGCTCGCAAAATTAAATTCGTGCTAAAATGGCGTTTATCTTACTTAATACATAATATACCATTATCTACTCATACATTGACAAGCTATGACTTTATGGGGTTTAAGTCACATGCTAAAGTTAACAACAGTGGCTTTTGAGCATTTTAGTCACGTGCTGAAGTTGGCTTTATTTTAAATTGCAAAAAAGTGAGGTTAAATTCGTCAAATATTTACTAATTAAAATTGGCTTTAAATGCTTAATCCTGTTTGTCGTAAATAAAGTAAAATAGGTATACTTTATATGCAACTCGTTTTATAAACTTCAATAGACACTCGTTTTTATTAAACACTCGTCGCAAGCTCGCTCGTGTCTAATTTAAATTCGTGAGTTAATCAAACTTTATATATAAGAGGTATTTTCATTATTTTTAAATAAGGCTTTTTTTCCTCTTGATAATTTTCATTATTTTTTAAACTACTAAAAAAGTAAAATTCTTGTGATAAAATTATTAAAACATAATTTTATTAAAACATAAAATTTATAATAATAATTTTAAATTGTGTTCTTAAATTTGCAAGATTTTACTAAAATTTTGACTTTAAATTATTTTTATTTTTAAATTTTGAATTTGAACTAAAAAATATAATATTATATTATATATAATATAATATATATTATAGTATATTGCATTTTAGGTACGAGTTCTATTAGGCACGAGCGAAGCTTGCGCCAAAATTTTTTTCTGGGCTTAGTAAAATTATTTGTAAAATAACTCATATTTAACGATGCTCAAAAGTTTAATTATTATTTGGAACTTTTCTTAAAAGGATTGAGAAGGTTCCCAAATCCTTATTAATTTTTTGAGCAGCATTAAAAATGAGTTATTATGCAAATAATTTTGTTTACCCCAGAAAAAATTTTTGGCGCTTGGTTCCTTTTCGATAAACGCTATCCACTTTATCTACGACGAACAAAAAGAAGAAATTAAAGCCAGTTTTATAAAATATATATATATAAAACGCCATAATAAGCACAGTATTGTCTCCATGGCAACAGTATGATACGCAAATATAATTTATAATTCAAATTTTTGCCCGTGCGAAAAAATTACGTCTTGCTACATAAGTTCTTTAATATACCAACTATTATTCTCTTTAATGTAGAAAAACATCGCTCGCTTTCCACACAATATAATTTGACATTTTCCGATTATTATTAATAAATAATTGGATCATTGCTACGCCCACAGAGCTTTTACCTGTAAATTATTAGTGGGTTAACTTATAGTAAAGTTTAAAAATAATAGTTTATTTTTATTGTTTTATTGGGAGGTATCTTATTGTATTTCTATCTAGGATGCGGCCAGGAAAATCGTCCCTCTGCCGGAAAATTTACAAACCTACACTTCCTTCCTAGCCGACGCTTTAGACACAATCATGGGTGTGCGCGATTGTCCAGTAAACCGCATGACCATCTGCGTTACCTCAGACGCAGAAAAAGAGAAATGCGTCAAAATGCGTACCGCCCTTAAAGCTCAGTTGTTAAAACCGGAAATGGACTGCTACAAGGGACATTCGCAGATCCATTGTATGCAAGCCATAAGGTAAGTTGCAGATTGCATTTTGTGTAATATGAAAAATTCTAATAGGTATTATTCTTTTTATTAGGTCAGGTACTGCAGATGTGACGGTACTAGATGCTAGTGATGTTTATACGGCCGGTTTAAATTTTGATTTGGTGCCTTTTGTGAGTGAGGTGTATAATTTGGAGGATCCGGAGTATTATGTTGTTGCTGTGGGAAAAGAGTCTGATCCTAGTACAGAGTTGACATATTTAAGAGGTGAGTTTTTTATTCTTAAGGTTTTAGTAATTTTTTGGTTTAAACCAATTGTTTATTGTATTTTTTTCATTTTAACAGTGTTTTTTTAGTTTTAATATATATTTTTGTTTATAACTATAGTATACTTTTGACTTTTATCTAGGTACTAAAAATCGTAGTAAAATATTTTACTAGGTATATAGTACTTTAACCGATAAAATGTTCAATTGTACAAAAATATTGCCAATAATATCTTTAAATTACAATTTTGTTTTACTATTTAATGCATATTTATTGTTTAAAATGTATAAACAAATGTAATAGTAATTTTTGATTATATTAATTTGCAGTTTTAAAATATCGCCAAAATAGCTGACTGATCAAAAAAAATTTTAATTATTTTTTGTTAAAGAAAAATTTCCCAAATTTCTAATATTTTGTCTTTTTTACAAAAAAAAAATTTAATTTTAAATTTAATTTTTTAAATTTTGCAAAAATGTTGAGGAATTTTTTGAATACCAATTGTACTGCAAAAATATCTTTAAATTACAAAGAAATTATGATTTGTTGTTTTACTATTTAATGCATATTTAATGTTTGAAATGTTAAACAAATGTGATACTTAGTAACTTTTGAATATATTAATTTAGAAATCTAAATTGCAGTTTCAAAATATCGCCAAACGTATCATAGTTATAAATTGAAATAGCTGACAAAAAAGTAATTTTTCTTACCAAACGCGCCTCTATAAATATTTAAAAAAAAACTCATATTTTTCTGGCCTTATAAATGCTCAACTTTTTCACCATTGCACAATTTGATAATTGAAAAATAGTAAAATCTAAACTCTAATTTTTAGGCTACCTATAGAAAAAACATTGTATAACAAACGACGCTAAAATTATATTTTTCGGTCGCCGAACTATCTAGTTTAATCATTTTTATTCATTCCGTGACATGGTCTTATTTTGGGTTTAAAAAAGTTTCCAAAATTTTTTATGTTGCCTTTTTTATCAATTTTACAACATAAATTTTAATTGTAAATTTAATTTTTTAATTTTAAATTTTGCAAAAATGTTAAGGTATTTTTTGAATAGGTACCAAATGTACTACAAAAATGTATGTTTTTTTGTTTTACTATTTATTTTTAAAATGTTAAACAAATGTAATAGTAACTTTTAAACATATTATAAATGCATATTTAAGTGGTTAAAATAAAATAGCCGATATATATCGGTATCGGACCAAAAAAAGCATATCGGTCAAACACTATTTTTTATTGATTCCGCGGGATAAATTCATTTTGATTTTAAAAAATTTTTTTAAATATTTTTATCAATTATACAGAATAGTTTTTAATTGTAAATTTAAGTTTTGAAATTTTTCCAAAATGTTGAGGTATTTTTTGAATACCAAATTTCATGATTTTATGAAAAAGGTGTTTCTTACATTTAAATTCGCTAAATAAAAAAACTTTTTAAAGGTAAAAACACCTGTCATGGCGGTATTAACACAGCAGCTGGTTGGGTGTACCCTCTAGCTTTCCTTATCAGCAACGGTTGGATTAGGCCGTACGGTTGCAACAGTATCAGAGCAGCTGCTGAATATTTTACCAAAAGTTGCATTCCTGGGGCCCTCAGTACCGAGTACAACACTGGCGTACCTTATGATAACATGTGCGACTTGTGTCATGGACCCACTTTCAGGTATAAATGACCAAAAAATGTTAAAAATCGGATTCTTAACTCTAAAAGTGTTTTCCAGATACTGCAGAAGAGACCACTCAGAGGATTACTACGGCCACACCGGAGCTTTCCGGTGTTTGGTGGAAGGCGGTGGTCACGTGGCCTTCGTGAAACATACGACAGTCACTGAAAATACGGGCGGGAAGAAACGGGAATGGTGGGCGAGAGATAACTTGAATGACGATTTTGAGCTTCTTTGTCCGGACGGTAATGTACTGTTTTTAATTTTAAAATAACTTGCCAACGGCTAATTTTTTGACAAAAATTGCAATAACGTTTTTTGTAGTGAATTAAATTCTCTATATTTCTCCCCTTTAGGTTATTTTTGTAAGACTCATATTTTTCAAGATATTAAATTTTTTATCGTTTTATTGACAAAATGATATTTCAGGTACAAGAGCTGAAATTAACGAGTACCAAAGATGTAATTTGGGCAAAGTAAAGGCTAATGCTGTTGTTACAAGAGGCGGTTATGGTTATAATGAGACTCATATAAATGCCTACATAAATCTGTTTATGTATGCCCAGACTTTCTACGGACGAAAATTTGCTGATGAATTCAGGTAAGATTAAAATAATGTTATGTTATCTGTTAAGGGACCTTATTTTTGTTTTCTTTATTAATTTTTATCAAAAATAAAAATTTTATAATTCGATTAATTTTTTAAAAACATTTTTTTCAATTGTTTTGTCCCAATTTTCGATTTTTAAGAGCTTTATTTAATTCGTAAGTTGTTAAATATTCAAAAACGTAAAATTGACAAAACAATTGAAATATGGAAAAACTAGAAAAAAAACACGATTTTTTTCTAATTTGTCCATTTTTTTTGTATTTTTAAAATACTTTTAATTTTTTTTTCTTTGTTATTAATTTTAATAGATAATAATATAATATATTGTTATTTTTATATTTGTTTTTATTTCTTTTTATATAAAAGATTTTTATTTTTTTTTTCAAAAACTTTGTTTAAATTTTTTTATTTATTATTATTATTTATAAAATATTTTTTCCAATTTTAGTTTTTATTTAATTTTTAAATTTTTTTCCCATATTTAAAATGTTTCTTTTAGGTATGTAATTATAATTTTATTTAAACAAACTTTACAGCATCAAATAGTGTATGGTTTGAAGTCTTTGTGTAAGGGTGTTTCGGTGCAATGGCACATAAAAAGAAGGTGGTTCTATTTCTGTGGGCAATGCTGTATAGTTTGTTTAATAAAATTTGATTACATACCTAAAAAATAAACAAAATCGTTTCATTTTACGATTAAAGATTTTCTAAAAAATTGATTGTCACAATTTTGCGATTTTTTATTTTTCTTAGATTTCTTTCATCTAAAATGATATTTCTTATTATAGGTTTTACCAATTTTTTTATCTTTATAAAAAATTGTTAAGTACTGTTAATATTTTGTCCGAATTCTACGATTTTTATGGTTTTTTATTTTTCCTATTTTTTAAATGTTTTTTTTTTAAATTTATTTTATTTTCTTAAAGTTTTTAAATCTTTGGGCTCAATTTTTACGATTTTTGCATTCTTCACAGCTTTCTTTAATTCTAAACTGTTTTTTCTAAAATTTTCATATTTTTTCTATTTTTTTCCATTTGTGTCTATATAGACACAAATGGAAACATATGTTTAGAATAAGTGTTATGTTTGTTTTTTAAAAAACTTTTTTGGTTATTTTTTTCTAAAATATTTCAATTTATTTTTAATTTACTAATGTTTTTTTATATTTCACCAGAATATTAACATTGTTTATTTAAATGACAATTGGCAATATTTTTAATGGTCTTTTTATATATTTAATAATTAATTAATAATAATAGAAATGGCCAATTTGTCATTTAAATATACAATATTAATATTCTGGTTAAACCATTGATAAATTAAAAATTAATTTAAATATTTTAGATAAATTAACTATATATTTATAGCCCCACAGTTTTTAATTTTAATTTCTTATATTAATATTTGTACCCTAGTCAGAAATTTTTTTGTGCTTAAACCAATTTTTTTTTGTTGATTCTTCTATTCTTTCCATTTTTATCTATATTTAGAATGTGTTTATTTTTGTTTTTTTTTGTTAATTTTTCTAAAATATTTCAATTTATTTACGAATGTTTTTGTATATTTCACCAGAATATTAATATTGTTTATTTTAATGACAATTGACAAATTTAAATGTTTTAGAAAAATTAACAAAAAAAAACAGAAATAAAACATACTAAATATAAGGCTAAAATTAAAAAAAAAGTTTTTCATTTTTTTTGTTGATTTTTCTATTTTTTCCATTTTTGTCTATATTTAGAATTCGTTTTTTTTGTTAAATTTTCTAAAATATTTTAATTTATTTTTAATTTACCAATGTTTTTAAAAATAAATTCAAATATTTTAGAAAAATTAACAAAAAAAAAAAAACAAAAACAAAACATTCTTATTCTAAATATAGACAAAAATGGAAAAATAGGACAAAACCTGAAAATTATTTATTATTATTATTACTTAACATGTTTCTTATTTGTTTATTATAGCTCCACAGTTTTTTTAATTTAATTTCTTATATTAATATTTTTAGTCAAAAATATTTTTTTGTGCTTATAAATGTGCTGTTTTTCAACTTTTTTATAAACTATAAAAATCAAATTTTTCATTTTTTTATCTTGTAGTTTTAGCATGTTTACATCAACTCCCCCCTACTCGGACTTAATATTCTCCGACGCTACCACCCAACTTAAGGTCATAGAACCCAGTAACAGGTACTACTCGAACTATCTGGGACCGGACTTTATGCGCGCGCGCAGAATAGTCGACTGCCACGCAGGCGCAAACGCGGTTGCCATCTCAACGGCCATCCTGACGCTTTCCACCCTTTTCGCCATTTTCATACTCGGTTAAAAAAATAAAAGAAAAGAGTTAAGTAGTTTTTTATACAAAGATACAAGCCTTCAAGAAAATCTAGGAAAAATGCTACTACTATTAATATTTTAGAGGAAAAAAGGTGTTTAACCCCTTTGTCCCCAAATTATTGTTTTCCAAAGTAAATGAAGCCACTGGTGTAAATATAAGAAGGTAAATATTTTTTTGTCTTTTATAAATTAGACTGGTCCAAAAAAATCAACTATTTTTTTTTGAAAAGAATATCGAAAATATGGTTTGGGGTGACAAAAAAAAATTATTGTGAAAGTTTGAGTCCATAATATTAATATTAAGAGGTCTATCATCGCAATTTTAATTTTTTTGTCCTCAGCAAGTTTTAGGCTCAGAACTCCCAAACCATTGAGTTTAACAAAATTGACTTGAATATATTTTTTTAAGAAAATTAAATGCTCTACAAAAAAGGTTAAAGTGAAATTTTCCATCAGATGAACCGTTTCCTTAAAGTCATGCCTTAAAAATTGGTATAGTTTTACATTTTGATCTTTTAAATTGGAATTTTGTAATTCATGTAAAAAATCAGTACCCATAAAAAACGATAAATTTTCTTATGGAAAATCAAGTGCTTTACAAAAAAAGCCTCTTAACATTTTTGGCTAAATTCACTCAATCAAAAGTTATTCAAGGTTAAAATTTCGTTTTGACTTCAAATTTAACCTTGAATAACTTTTCATGGAGTGAATTTAGCCAAAAATGATAAAAGACTTTTTTGTAGAGCATTTGATGTCCCATAAGAATATTTATCGTTTTTTTTTTCAGGGTACTGATTTTTACTTGAATTACAAAATTCCAAAGTTAAAAGATCAAATTGTAAAACTATACCAATTTTTAAGGCATGATTGTAAGAAAACGGTTCATCTGACGGGAAATTCCAATCAAACCTTTTTTGTAGAGCATTCAATTTTCTTCAAAAAATATTTTTAAGTCAATTTTGTTAAACTCAATGATTTGGGAGTTCTGAGACAAAAACTCGCTCAGGAAAAAAAAAATCTAAAATTGCGATGATAGACCTCTTAATATTAATATTATGAACTCAAACTTTCACCATAATTTTTTTTTGTCACCCCAATGGTCCAGTCTAATATAAATGGTACAAGTTAAAATAAAATTACTGGTTCTTTAAGTGATATTTTATTTTAAAAAAATGCAAATTATAAGGTCCAGTGGTTCCACTAAAATTTGACAGATACAACGCAATGCAGATAAAATATTAGGGTTTGGAGTGCTTTGAGAGCATAGAAAAAAATGGCAAGTAGATGGCACCACATGCTATAATTTATTAAAAGATAGTTTCACAATGAAACCATTGCATTGGGGACTAAAGGGTTAAGTAACTTTTGTACTTCCAAATTTTAAATTAGCGTAAGTAATGATTTTTTAGAAGGCGAATATATACGATATTATGTAAAAATATGTTGTAATTGTTATTGTTGAAGCCGTCCATTTTATATAACGTATTTTTATTAGGTATTATTTTTTAATTTTATATATTTTTATATGAAGTTTTAGTACAAGTGCACTTAATATTAACATAATGTACAGGGTGTCTTAAAAATCAGTACTTTTTTTACTTAAAATGGTTATTTTGTTATTTTTAGGACAACCTGTATAAAGATATATTTTTGTTTTATCAACAAAAGGTATAAAGTAGTATTTATAAATATCGTACAAAAATGACAATTTTTGTATATTTTAATAAAAATGATAATAAAGTACTGAGCAATATTTTATATTTTACTTAAATGTATTTTTTTATATTATAATTTTAATTCAGGAAGAATTTTTAAATATACCTATAGGTAATAAAGCACAATTTTTTTATGTTTACATACTATTAACAGAGTTTTAATTGATTTTGGTCAAAAAATCATAAAAATATACTTTTTTACCCTGTATTATAATAGAATGGGTTGAGTATCCGCTTTTTTCGAAATTAATTTGGTTAAAGCAAAAATATTTATCTTTGAGGCGAAATTACTTTAAAAAAATATTTTTTACTTTCAGCCTAATATGTTAACCAATTTTTTTTCCTTTTAATTATTTTTTTTTCACCTTAAGTTATATTTTTGCTATTAAAAACCGGATATTCGACCCAATCAAATATATAATTATAATTTAAAATCATTTTTAATGAAACTCAAACTTAAAATCAAAGAAGTCTTTATTTGAAATTTAATTAATGTTATTTCTGATAAATTACCCAATTAAAACCTGTTAATAGATTTAGTAGGTATTAACTTTGATCTAAAATAAAATGTCAAAGTTCGTATTTTGCAATTTCTTTTGCGATGAAGCAATGAAAAAAGCTCGTTTGAAGTTTTAGTATGAACGTTTTTATAGTTTAATAAACTTCCTGTTAAATCTCTCCTCTCTCTCTCTCTGTGTATATAAATCCGTCCAATAGTGTCTTAAGGCTTTTAAACTTGATAAAAAAAAATTAAATGGAAAAATGTTGCGACTGCAGTGAGTTGTTGACTTGAACAAATAAAGTTTTTGAATAAACATGTTGTCTATTAATAAATACGAATATCCTCCCCGAATTCCTTAAAACACGTTATGGCAGTGAAAGTAAATTAATTTTTGACGCGAGTATAGGCATTAGTGTTATGTCACGGGTTTGTATGCAATTAAAATGGTTTTTTGGTTTTTGCGTTTTTTAATTAAGGATATTTTATTGTAGGTATTTTACATTTGTCATTATTTTAATAGTATATTATGTATCAAGTTTGATAAACGCCATTTTATACACGAATTTAATTTATTAAATTATTGAGTGTATAGAAAAGTTTATAAACGAGGTGCATACTTTACTTTTTCTACGACAAATACTTATTATTATCTAGAGATGGGAATCGGAAAGTTTCCATTTTAAGGAAACTTTCCGTTTTGGAAAGTTTCCAATTGGGAATTTATTTTCATTTTGAAAGTTTCTTTTAAGCTACCGGAAACATTCCTTGGAAACATTCCTTGGAAACTTTCCTTGTTTTTTTCATTTAAATGTCAATTGTTTAACCGCTGATTTTCGTTAAGGCCATGATACAAGGCCAAGAAACTTTGAATAAAATTTAATGTGTGTTAATTTAAAGCAGAAGAAGAAGTATAATTTATACTTATACTTATACTGTATAAATAAGGGACTGTCTACAGTTCCTACCAGTAGGAATTTTAGTCGCCGAGTCTAAAGTTCCTACTGGTAGGAACTTTAGCCACCTGGTCAAGAGTTACTACCAGTAGGAACTTTGTGTTCTGTGGTTCCCGTTCTTTGTCTATACTGTGTGTGTGTATAGGTAATAATTCGGCTATTGAAGATAACGGTGGACATTTCCAACATTTAATTTAACTTTTGAATTATTTTTTTTTTAATTTTGCAATTATCGTTTATTTTTGTTACTTGTTCTAACGTTAAAATAAATTTTGTTTAATTAGTAAAAAAAAATTAAATTGACCATGTTTTTAAACATAAAAGTTGATTTTTCTTGAAAACGGTCAATTTTAGAGCTTATGACAAAGAGTACCTTTTTTGTGTAGAAAACATTGGCGGATGGAATGGGCCTCTCAAAACCGTACTTTTTTCAGGGGCGTAGAAGTTGAGGAGAAAAACACCCGCTACCCCTTCAAAATCTCCACCAATTATAAGTAAAAATAAAAATTTTCTGGCACAAAACATATAGATATATATATACAGGGTGTTTCATAATATATGCGCAGGACTTCAGGATGTGATAACTCATCCAAAAAGATGAAAAAAGTCGCTATTAACTTACGCTCTAAAATGCACAATTTTCGAGATACAGGGTGTTGAAATTTTAGAAAAAAATTCGTTTTTTTCGAATATCTCCGGAACCGTTTATCGTACAAAAAACAGCTTTTGTAAGCATTTTCTACTCAAAATAAGCTATGTTTTGTGCCAGAAAAAATTTTTTTTTCCTCATAATTGGTGGAGATTTTGAAGGGGTAGCGGGTGTTTTTCTCCTCAACTTCTAGGCCCCTGAAAAATGTACGGTTTTGAGAGGCCCATTCGAACCGCCAATGTTTTCTACACAAAAAAGGTACTAAAAGGTCATAAGCTCTAAAGTTGACCGTTTTCGAGAAAAATCAACTTTTATGTTTAACAACATGGTCAATTAAAAAAAAAAAAAAATTTTTTTACTAATTAAACAAAATTTATTTAGAACAAGTAACAAAACCAAACCATAATTGCAAAATAAAAAATGATTCAAAAGTTGTCTTTGCTAAATTCTTCAAACCGTAAAGCGTTACGCATTTCGAACATTTCAGCATTTGTGTAAAAAATCATTTTTTATTTTTTTTTAATTTTGCAATTATCGTTTGGTTTTGTTACTTTTTCTAACGTTAAAATAAATTTTGTTTAATTAGTAATAAATTTTTTTTTTTTTTTAATTGAACATGTTTTTAAACATAAAAGTTGATTTTTCTCGAAAACGGTCAACTTTAGAGCTTATGACCAAGAGTACCTTTTTTGTGTAGAAAACATTGGCGGTTCGAATGAGCCTCTCAAAACCGTACTTTTTTCAGGAGCGTTAAAGTTGAGGAGAAAAACACCCGCTACCCCTTCACAATCTCCACCAATTATGAGTAAAAAAATTTTTTTCTTGCACAAAACATAGCTTATTATGAGTAGAAAATGCTTACAAAAGCTGTTTTTTGTACGACAAACGGTTCCAGAGATAATCGAAAAAAACGATTTTTTTTCTAAAATATCAACACCCTGTATCTCGAAAATTGTGCATTTTAGAGGGTAAGTTAATAGCGACTTTTTTCATCTTTTTGGATGAGCTAACACATCCTGAAGTCCTGCGCATATATTATAAAACACCCTGTATATATATATATTTATAAATTTATAATTTATATTTATATATTTAGAAAACTAGAGATATATTTCTAGATTTCCTACCTAAATCGCAAGATACTTTAATATTTTATTTATAAATAGTTAAAAAGGATATATTTTTATGTTTACCATTAATTTTAATTAAACTTAAGTTACATTTTATTTTTGTTTTTACTAAATAAATGTTTGTTGTTAAATATATATTTTGAATTTAAGCCTTTTAGCAAAGATACCAAAAATATAGTTATTATAGAAATACTCTTTCTTATAAGATTAGTAAAACTTCTTTATAAAGATATATACAATAATGAAAAAATATGTTTGATTCAATTTTTCATTTATAACGCATTGTACCTATATAATATTAGACCATTAAGTAATACTTTACTCAATGATAAAACATTATTGTAATAAAATAAGTTTTCCAAAGATTTTTATAAAATGTTTTTTTTTGTGCAGAACAAGTAAAGATTTGAACATTATTTCCCAAATAGGCCATTTTTAATTCAAACAGGTGGTAGTAACTTTGGCGTCCATAACAGAATTTCCGACTGGTAGTAACTTTTGACTCAGTGGCTGCAGTTCCGACCAGTAGGAACTTTAGTCTTGAAGACTTAAGTTCCTACTGGTAGGAACTGTAGACAGTCCCTATAAATAATGTAAGTTATGTTACATAACCTCAATGAAGCCAGCATAAAAACAATAAACAAAGTTAAAATCATTCTTACATTTTTGTTGTTTATTTATAGGCATAGCATAATGCCAAGAGAAAAATCTAGTGTTTGGAATTATTTTTTACTTTACTTTTTACTTTTCAATATTCCTATAGGTACCTATATTAGTTACTTTGTCCCTTTTAATTTTTATTACTAGGATTTACTAGCAGTGAATTTATAATAGTAAACATTTTATTTTTATTTTGTAGGTTTCAGTATACAATAGGAATATTCCAAAGTAAAAGATACTAAAAAAAGAATTGCAGTTACATTCTTATAAACATTTTTTTTTTATTTTTTTTCTTAATAAAATTTGACAAAAAGTTAATGCAAATCCCTGGCATAAAAAAAATATTTTCGCAATAAAAAATTTTTTTTTGAAACTTTCGGAAAATTTCGGGAATTTTCGATGGAAAGTTTCCGGGAATTTTCGTCAAATGGGAATTTTCCCATCTCTATTATTATCTTAAAATAATTTAAATCAAAAATTTGTATAGAGCGCCATCTATGAAACAATAGGGGAATCTGTGTGTCACTGTCAAATGTCAAATTTTTATATACTTTATAAACACAATTATAAAGGTTATAAATCGAAATTTATTTCTTGAAAATTGACAGTTTTTCACAATGAAAGTAAAGAAAATGTTTTATGAGCACTTTACAGTGGAGTCCGTGCCCGAATTTAAGTTATAGTTTACTGCCGGCGAAATTAAAAGGTCAGTAAAATGTTCATATAAACTTTTCAAATATTGGCGTTGAGAAACTATTGAATACTTTTGTATTTTTATATTGAGATAATAAAATAATTTTCACATTTAGTATTATTTTACAAGAAAGGCACTTTATTTTAACTATTGTATAACATTTGACAACTGTCAACTAACTTAAAACTAACTTCAGCCCGTGACTAAAAACCTGTTGCTAATTTCGGCCCGTGACTAAAGCTCCATAAAGCCACAACTTGTCAATGTGTATATAAAAGGTCACTTAGTGTCATGGAAACATGTACGATGAAGGGCGTTTTAAAGGTGGGAGTAGAAAAACTAGGTCTTCAGCAGAAGTACCATTTTTTAAATACAAAAAATATTAAATCAAACTGGCATAAGCTAGCTACCAACTTAATAAAAAAAAACAAAATCCAAATAAAAAAAATTAACTGTGTATGTTTTAGATTTTTTATTATTTAAAGATGTATTTATAATTTTTATTGTTCTAATGGTTAATTACTCTAATCATACCTATGATTTTTTTATAGATAAACCTTAATTGTTTAATATTGTATCTATACCTTAATTTGTTTTTAATTTACTGTATTTATTTGTTAACCTGCAAAATTAATAAAACAATCCAAAAAACACCCTATCCATTATTTTGAAGCGCGCATGTTGACAGCTGACTCATAAAAATCGCCCGTAAAACTGCATACTCATCCGCCCTCCAAAATTAGTCACAGCGCTTTCCGTCTTTGTCGCATCGATCTCCGTCTCCGTCCCACTCGTTGCGTGAAAACAACAATCACCGTCGCCTCGAAAGTGGTTCGAAAAAACCTTTAAAATGGTAAATAATCAGTTGAGAACAATATACGCATTTGCACGCGAGATGTATCCGAGAAACACGAAAACGCAAATCCAATATGGGACGGCGGGATTTCGCACCAAGTGAGTGGCTTTTGTTTCAGCTGTCATCATTGAGGTTATGTGCCGCAGTGCACTAATGACCTAAATGAGGGATTTTCGAGGTTTTTTGACTTAAATTCGTGTTTTTTAAGGGCGACGATGCTGGATTACGTCGTGTACCGCATGGGGCTGCTGGCGGTCCTCAGGGGTCGGTACAAAAAAGGTAAACATCGTTAAAATAACCCCCTTTTTAGTAATACGACAAATTTTAGCTTGCATTGGGGTTATGATTACTGCCTCCCACAACCCAGAACCTGATAATGGGGTTAAATTAGTTGACCCTATGGGGGAAATGTTGGAACAATCATGGGAAGAATGGGCAACTAAAATAGCCAATGTTCCGTAAGTACTTTTTAGTTCAAGATTTTACGTTTAAGTTGCTTACTGTGGGCTTTATAATTGTCTTTTTTCTATAAGTTGGTAACAATGACACAATTTCTTAAAAGAAGAAAATATTGATTTTGAAGCCCAAAATAGTATTAAAATAATTATCACTTTATCTCAAAAATTAGGTCGATTTCAAATTTTTTTTAATGGCAGCTTCTTATATAATTTTTACTTTAACTTACCCTGTTTACTACCTTTTGTTACATTTTTAAACCATGATTAATGGTGTGAAATATAATCCCAAGATTTTTTTTAATGGCATCTTCTCATATAATTTTTACTTTAATTTACCCTGTTTACTACCTTTTGTTACATTTTTAAACCCTGATTAATGGTGTGAAATATAATCCCAAGATTAAAATAGATAAACCTTGATCAAACAATGTAATGATTAAATAATTAGATAAGAAACAGGCTTGCCAAAACAAATATTTGAAGTTCAAGTTTAGTTTATAATCTTCATGTATTTGTTTGTTCAAGTTCATGGAAATTACATATGCATTTTATGCCATGTTAATTTTATCTTAATACTGCAAATTTATTCTTTTGTATTTTAAACAATAGTTGATTCTGTGTTTAGACTTAAGTGTTGGTCAGATTTTGAAGTATAATTATACTTCAAAATCTGACCAAGAAATGCAAATTAATAAATCCAGCTTTACTTACTACCAATTATATTTGGTTCTTCATAGAAGAGAGAATGTAGTATGAATTATATAAATGCATTGTTGTCAACTGTTTTAGTTATTTAAAAAATATAATAATAAATATATACCAAAGAAACTAATTCCAACTTGAAGTCAATTACTTATTTAGGAATTCAGTGACATCATTAGAACATACTTAAATAGTAAAACAAGTATAATGCTAAGGAATTATTTTTGTGAATAATTATTCATGCTTGCCTATTTACTGGTTCCAGTCATCTGGAAAACAGTTAAAATTAATGACTGCTATTTTTACTTACAATTTGTAAGAATACATATTTTCCAAATGCTAAAATACTATTATAATTAGAATTGATTTTAAACTTCATGTAAATGAACTTTTAGTAGGTTCATATAAATGGATTATATGGATTATTGTTTACTTTAATTTAATTTAATTAATCTGTTATCTTGTGAATTGATGTTTAAAAATCTAGTTTATTTTGTTGTTTTTCCTGAAATTGCATTCAATTTAAGTTAAAAACTTAACTTAAAGGATTTTGTGAAATTTGTTTTAATTGTTTACTTTCTAGATACATAATTAGCATTTTTTCAATGTCATATGGTTTTAATTGATAATAAAAGTTAGGTTTTTAATATATAATAATTTAAATTCGTTTTAAAGGTATTTTATTTTTAAGTCATGTTAAAATTATGTTATAGGTACTTAATTTAAATTTTAAAATACATAGGTAATTTCCAAATGAGATTTTTTTATTTTTATTTATTTGATGCATTTGCTATTTTTTCAGTTTTTAAATGTAAAAAAATAGGTTTTAAATTTTAGTTCAACAAAATAAATTATAATAATATTTAAGATGAAGAAACAGATGCGGGTATTCTTGACAGTTTAAGATTTAATATAATTTATTTTTATTGCCTTAAATACATGTATGTAGGTATGTACATTGTACAAGTCTATTTTTTATACTTCATTTTAACATTTTAACCCCAAAAACTCTTAAAATAGGTACCCTATGGGGCGCAGTTTTATTTTTTATTCACATGAGAATTTTTATTCTGTGAATTAATAATATCATAGCAGATATTTTAAAATTAGATTTAATTTTTATGCCATTAAATTAAAAATATGTGTTTAAATAAAAAATTAAGATTAAAATTTGTACAGGATTAAGATTATAATCTAGTTCCAACTGGTTCCATATATCAATAATTAAGATTAAAATTTGTACAGGATTAAGATTATAATCTAGTTCCAACTAGTTCCATATATCAATAATTATTGATATATGGAACTAGTCTTAAAATTTGAAAAGGATGTTTTTAATAGTTTCAATCAATATTTATACCCCAAATAAGGTAAACCACATAGTTATTGGGCACTTAAGGAATATTTTTTATTTAAAATTTATATATGCTGTTTTAAAGATTTTAGTATTTTTCTTTCAAATATATAAAAAGGATAGTTTGTTTGTTTAAACTTCATTTACGTTTACTTAAAAATAAGAATATTTGAATTTTTAATAATAGTTTTTTAAAAACATGCAAAAAAGTATAGTAATTGGAAATTTTATATAGTAATTGGACACATGGACCATAGTTATTGGACATACATTTTTTATATAAACATAACAACCTTACATCAAATAACATAAATTGTTAAATATTTTTTAAAGATAAATTGCTGTTTTAGGTAATTTTTATTATTTCGTTTTTGTAAATATCATATAATTCATATATTTCTTTCTGGGATTCCTCATCCCTTTTTGGATTCTGAAGGTAACTACTAATTCCTTGGTCTGACTTCTGAAATAGTTTGTTGCAAATATAATTAAGTGTGGTATATCTAGTTTGTGAAGCATTTATAATGTTTAGGCCGGACAGGATGATTTATATATATATATAATATTTTTTCGGGTGGTATGTTAAAAGTATTTTCCGAATTTATTAATTTTCTTGCCATTAGTTTTTTATGTTCTCTATCAAGCACTGTATTTAAATCACTGTTATTCTGCAAGATGTTCTGTGACGAAGAAATCACTATATTACTTACTCTCTAAAAATGAATTAGTTAAAAATGTCATAGCGAAAAAGCAGCCACTAATAATTCTCGTTGTATCCAGGACATTTAGCAGTCAATTCCTTAAAATAATATTCGCTGAATCCGAAAATATCGTCAAAAGTTATTGGACCCAAAATAAAGTAGTTCTATATTATTACCGACTGAGATAGTTATAATTGTATACAGCGTCATCAATTTCATAATGGTATCTTTATTAGTTTTTTTTATGGATTTTGGTCACATTTTTGTTATTTCAGTCCACTGCACAGTGTGTTAAACTAATTATCTAGCTAGATAAAACCTAAATGACATAAAAAATCTTAAATTTTCTTCGTAAACGGGGTATTTGGGTTCACTGAATCCAAATCTGACATCCAAAATGCAGAAATTAAATTCGTTCATTACAAAATGGCCGGCGCCTTGCAATAAAAAATAAACTTTCCGATTCATAGGAAATTGGTCAACTTTTGTTTTTCCAAAGAAACACCCTGTATATGTTTGTATATTTGAAATCAGGAGAAAATTTTGAATCCGATAGATGCACATTCGCTACCATTTTGCAATTGACCTTGAATTTTTGTCCAGTTTATTTTTTCAATCCAGAAGGCTGCAATTTGGAGAATCAATTAGTTTTACCATCCAAATTTGTAGTAAAATGCATAAATAGTAAATGTTGCTGATGAAAGGTTTTGTTAAATCCATTTTTTCCCCATGTCATAAAAATTCGTTTAATGTTTTCCACGAAAATTATACTTATAGAAAACTTAAATTACAAAAAAAAATCCCACGAAAGTGTAAGTATCGAATCCAAAATTTTCTCCTGATTTGAAATATAAAAAAATATTTAGAGTATTTCATTGAAAAAACGAAAGTTGGCATTATTTCCGGGGAAATCGGAAGTTTTGTTGTATCCATTATTATTACTCCCAAATTTCAACTCAGGAGTGAGTCGGTTTTTGGTTACAACCTTTAGAAGAGTCAAATTGGGGCAATAAATAAAGGCACATAAGTAATCTGTAGACGTTATAAAACAAAACAAATACTGATAGTGCACCCGATATTGCTCGATATTGTCCATATTTAACAACACCAAGTAAATTTATATCTAGGTATAGCCTGTTGATTACTGATATTATAAATCCATAATAATAAAAAATAAGTAATATATACCTTAGGGTGATTCATTTCCGCAAATTTTTTGAGGTGGGTAAGCATTAGAAATTTGAAAAAAAAAATATATTTTTTACATGCATTTTAAACGGTAAAACTTTAAATTTAAATAGTAAGTAGGTACCTACCTAATTTATATTAAGAGCTCAAACTTGGTGAGAATGTTTTTTCCTATATGCAGATTAATATTTTGCTTGAGCACCGAAAAAAAACCAAAAACTTTGCGGAAATGAATCACCCTAATATACCTAGATCCTTAGCTGCACAGTCCAAAATTTGATAAGTAATGAAAATCTTACAGGAAGAACTGAAGAAGCTTATTTAAAAAAATTGTCTTTATTTCAGGTTGTTTTTAAATTAGGTTTTGTCTAGCTAAATAATTAATTTAACTTACTGTCCGCTGTGGGTTGTAGCATGAGACTCTCTCATGATGAGAGTAAGGAAAATATTTTGTATAAATTTTCAGCGACGACCAACTGGAGTCGGTGGTGAGCGAGATCGTGAAGGAGTTCAAGATCGACAACATGAACGAGCGCTTCGAGGTGTACATCGGCAAGGACACGAGGCCGAGCAGCCCGAGCCTGGCCGAGGCGGCGGCGCACGGGGTGCGCGCGATCGGCGGCAAGCCGATGGACTTCGGCATCGTGACCACGCCGCAGCTGCACTACTTCGTGCGCTGCCGCAACTCGAGGAACGAGTACGGCCAGCCGAACGAGGTCGGCTACTACACGAAGCTGTGCACGGCGTTCAAAAAGTTGCGCGGCGACGGTTACAGCAACGGCAAGTACGAGAACACGATCGTTTACGACGGGGCGAACGGCGTGGGCGCCAAGAAGGTCAAGTTTTTGAAGGAGGTGCTCGGCGATGCCTTGAAGATCGAGATGTATAACGATGAGATTATAGGGTCTGGAAAGTTGAACCATTTGGTAAGTTTTTTACTTAAAAATTGGGAAATTTTCAGAAATATTTGCTTTTTTTCATTTTATTTAAAGGGTAATACGAAAAAAATGAAAAAAAAAAATTTCCCTTCTATGAAAAATTTCTACAGATTTTGATCACGTCCGGAAAAAAACTGAAATTTGGGAAATTTTCAGAAAAATGACTTAAAAAAATGATACCCAAATCTTGGCATTTTTTCAGTTCACGTCCGGAGAAAAACGGAAAAGTTGGTAAATTTTCAGAAAAATTACTTTTGAATTTTTTTCATTTTATTCAAAGGTTAATACTGCCGTGCTTAATGAAAACGCCGTAACCAACAATTTTGCGATTTTTGTTTTACGGCAATTTCTACTAGAACAATTCATCCTGCGTCTATCCCCGGTACTCAAAAAACCGTATCTATATATATATAAGGTTTTTTGAGTACCGGGGATAGACGCAGGATGAATTGTTCTAGTAGAAAATGCCGTAAAACAAAAATCGCAAAATTGTTGGTTACGGCGTTTTCATTAAGCACGGCAGAATACGAAAAAAATAAAGTCACTTTTTCAGAAAATTTCAATTTTCAATGTTCTACTCTGATTATACGACAAAATTTGTTTTTTTCCTTCCCATGAAAAATTTCTACAAGTTTGAAAATATACTAAAAAACGGAAAAATTGTGAAATTTTCAGAAAAATTACTTTTTGCATTTTTTTCATTTTATTCAAAGGGTAATACGAAAAAAATTAAAAGTCTATTTTCTATATCTAAAGTCAAATAGTTTAATTGCGACGTAATTTATACCCTTAAAATATTCGTACATTGTGATGCTAAGAAGCTAACATTAAGAATAAATACGGAAGAGTTTCAATACTCGATTAAATGTTCAAATGTCGCACCCGTTACATTTTGAGAAAATTTTAGAAAATAAAGTATGCAATTTTTGTGCATTTAAAATACTTGCTTGTTTTTAAGGTTACTATTCAAGTTTTACACAAAAAAATATTACTATGCTCTCATCCAAAATTTTACAGTATCAACTTTAGAAGCCAACTTGGTCGCATTTGCCGATTTTCTAAGGCGCCCGTTACGCTATTCATGACGTTATAAAAGGTTTTCTATACAAGTTTTTATTGACATTTTGTTTGAGTTAAATACCTAATTTTTTATACTATTTTTTAAATTAAAGTATCTTGATATACAAACACTTTATTATCATGTAAAAACGCAGTTTTAGTGTCGCACCTGTTACAAGTGTCGCACCCGTTACAAGGGTAATACGAAAAAAATGAAAAAGTCACTTTTTCAGAAAATTTCAAGATCGTATCAAGAAAAAAGTAATTTTTCTACTCTGATTATACGACAAAATTTTTTCCTCCCATGAAAAATTTCTACAAATTTTGGAAATAGACTAAAAAAATCACACCCGTGTCTCAGATCACGTCCGGAAAAAAACGGAAAAATTATGAAATTTTCAGAAAAATTACTTTTGAATTTTTTTTATTTTATTCCAAGGGTAATACGAAAAAATTAAAAGTAAATTTTTCTGAATATTTCAAGATAGTATCAAGAAAAAAGTGAATTTTCTACTCCGATTACACAAAATTTGTTTTTTTTCACTCCCATGAAAAATTTCTACAGATTTTGAACAAAGACTTAAAAAAACAGGTTGTTCCCCAATTTTTCTGTTTTTTTTTTTGACACTTTAAAACCTTACTTAAAATCTAGTTACTTACCTAGTTTTTACATTTAAATGATATATTTTTTATGTATTATTTAACAGTGTGGGGCAGATTTTGTAAAATCTCAGCAAAAATTCCCCACAGGCGTTCCAAATAAACCAAACGTGAGATGTTGTTCGGTTGACGGTGATGCTGACAGGCTAGTTTATTATTATAAAGATGATAAAGATGTTTTACACTTAATGGACGGCGATAGATTAGCAACATTGATAGCTTCATACATAAAGGAAATTTTACAAGAAACTGGAATTGATTTGAACTTGGGATTGGTGCAAACTGCTTATGCCAATGGTGCTTCAACAGAATATATTACAAAACAGTTGGTAAGTAGTATATATAGTTTTTTAAGAACATTTCCATAATAATTTTCGGAAAAAAATAACCATAAAGATTTAAAAAAAAAACGTAACCCAGGGTTTAACCTTTAAAAAAAATTGTTAACAAAATACAGTTAATTTTTTTTGTATTAAGTTGGTAGCTTGAAAATAACTTTAAAAGGGCAAAACTTTATTTCAATGAAGTTATGCCAAATACCTCAAAAGTCAAAAAGTAATGTTTTTAGGTTTACAAGTATTAAATCACGCATTATTTTCAGCTAAGCAGATCAAATTTTTTTTAAATTTTAAAAAATAAGGGGGAAATAAAAAACAAAAAATAAAAATTGTGCTGTTAGGTTCAACCTTTTTGTGAAAAATCTAGTAGTTAATTTTTCTGTCTTTGAAAATAGCATCCATTTGGTTTGAAAAAGATAAGCAATAACCACCAAACTTTTTCTTCTTTCAATTTCAAGTTTTGATCATTAATAGTCCTGGACAATATATACATTGTAATTATTATTAAACCACTACAAGGGTTAACATCCAGTGGCTTTAAGAAAAATGCGTTTCATCTCTTTTTAACCCCACTTTTTTCTGTTTTTTATACAGTACGTCCACAGATAGAAGGCCTGAGAGGACAAATCGTCGTTTATCTGACAAAGAGGCGTATCTCATTTTTAAACAAAACGGTGTGAATTAAATTACGCCAGTTTGTACGGCACACAAAATGCAAAAATATTAGTTACGCCGAAACTACTTTATGCTAAAACTTTATTTTTACCTATTTATTATAGAGCTACGCCAGTTTGTGAGATTATAAAGTCGATTTTGGTGATCATTCTGGTATAACTCAAAAATGAATTTTTTTGAGTTACGCCTCTTTGTCAGATAAACGACGAAATGGACTAAAATTTTAATTTTTCGACCAAAAGTCATTCTTCATAAAAAGTTCTGCTTGTTTTGAAAAGTCTATTTCCATATTTTAAATTTAAAAATATTATACAGGGGAGTCGAAAAACAAGAAAACATGGAATACTATCAAGAGTAAACTACCTTTATTTTTCGTTTTGGAGCATAGTGACAAATAAAAAAAGACTAATTCTAAAATTTCAACTCAGTATTCGATATTATATCTTTATTTATTTTGTTTGATAGTTAGCATTTTTTTAATATTTTTTAAAACAAAATTTTACAATTAATAAACTGTGTCACTGTGACATTTTTGTCATACATAGGTAGGGTTCCGAACTTATGTCAAAAAAATCCTGGACATTTAGTGTAAATTTACCTTTATTACAAAAATGACACAATAAAAAATAATCCAGTAACGTCAAATTGCATTGTAACATTGTTCATTTTTGGAATTATTGTAAATTTCCACAAAATGTCCGGGTTTTTGTTGACATACATACGTGAATGAGGTACATAAGTATAAATGAGAAATTTAATTTTAAAACTTTAAAAGAAAAATAAAATTTGGAATACTGAGTTGAAATTTTACAATTAGTCTTTGGATAGGATTTGAAATCTTTTTTTTATTTGTCACTAAGTCAAGTCAAGTCTTGGCTCCATAACGAAAAATAAAGGTAGTTTACTCTTGATAGTATTTCATGTTTTCTTGTTTTTCGACACCCCTGTACAATATTTTCAAATTTAAAGTATGGCAATAGAGTTTTCAAAACAAGCAGAACTTTTTATGAAGAATGACTTTTGGTCGAAAAATTAAAATTTTATTCAATTTGTCCTGTTGGGCCCTGGACATACTGTATGATTTCCGTATATGTAGACATCACAAAAACGTTTAAACGTAAGTTCTTTTCTACAATCCCCGGTCTACAATTGTCGCAGAATGTAACTTTTACGGCTTATGAGAAATATTTCAAAATTGCAGAAGTTATTTAAGTTTTAAATCAACAGTATTTCTGCTTTATCGGACGAATGTAAGTAGACAACCCAGATAACAAATCGACAATACTGCGCTCTCATTGGCGGTTTTAAAGTTTAACAACTCCTGCAATTCTGCGAATTCAAAAAAATGTTAAAGTAAATTTTGGAATTTCAAGATGAAATCATCCGCAATATATAATATAGCTTCAAGCCTACAATTTTTCTGAAAATAGTGTAAAACTAATTCAATCATATTTATCAAATAGACATCAAGTTGGCAAAATTGGGAATGAATTGAGTCAAAGGGAAACTGTGAAAGTGGGGGTACCTCAAGGCTCTGTTCTTGGACCTATCCTATTTTTGATATTTATAAATGACCTATCTAACATTAGTAACTCGACTGATCTAATACTATTTGCTGATGATACAACAATTGTAGTAAAAGATAAAAATCTTGAACTTTTGGAGGTGAAGAGTGAGAGAGCAATGTCGCGGGCTGAAAAATGGTTCACCGAGAATCAATTAGTCCTAAACAAGGGCAAGACAGAGAACAATATTTTCTCCTTAAGAGATTTTAATGACTTAAACAAGTCAGAACCTAAGTCAGAACTTAAATTTCTTGGAATCATGTTTGACAGCAAATTGAGATGGAACAGTCACATGGATTCACTATCAAAGAGGTTGAATACCAATATATTTATTATTCGTAATCTTGTTGGTAGAGTGTCCAGTGAAGTATTGGCTAGTGCCTATTTTTCCTTATTTCAATCGCATATTTCGTATGCCATAATTGTTTGGGGTCATTGCTCTGAGTCACACAGAATATTTAGTCTGCAACGCAGAATTATAAGAATTATTGCCTCCCTTGGTTATAGGGACGATTGCAGGGCTGAATTTAGAAGACTTGGAATTATGACTTTTCCTGCCTTATTTATTTTTCATAATTTGCTATACGTAAAAAATAATTTAAACTTATATAAAAGTCATTACTGTGTACATAACCATAACACCAGAAATAAAGGCAACTTAATTAATCAATTCTCTAGACTGAAAAGGTGCCAGAGTGGACCTGATTTTTATGGAATTAATTTTTTTAACAAACTCCCAAATAATGTAAAAAATATGGCTTTTAATGAATACAAATTGTTTTTAAAATCCTTTTTTACTACTCATTCATTTTATTCTATTGATGAGTTTTTAAACTTTACCTTTTAATTGTATCCTTTATTATATTCTTTGTTTAAGTTATATTTACATTTCTTGTGCTATTTTTATATTTGTATTTTTCTGACGTTGTAAACCTTTTGGTAATAGCACTAATAATTATTATTATTATTATTATAGAAAGTCCCTGTAAGCTGCGTACCAACAGGAGTGAAACACCTCCACCACAAAGCCCTAGATTACGACATCGGAGTGTACTTCGAGGCAAACGGGCACGGTACGGTCGTGTTCAGCAAAAACGCCAAGCAATCCCTCAAAAACGAGGCGCAAAGCAACAGGAAATCGGCGGAAGAGAAGCGGGCCATCGCGAAGCTACTCGATCTCATCGATGTCGTCAACGAAGCCGTCGGCGACGCCATATCCGACATGCTATTGGTCGAAACCATCCTGCACGCCAAAGGCTGGGATATACAGGAGTGGGAGAAAACCTACGAGGACTTGCCTAATAAGTTACTTAAAGTGGTTGTTGAGGTAAGTACAAAACATATTTTTTCAGGGTTTTCGTTTGCCATACAATTTTTAAATGTCCTAAAATTGGTTAAATTCTAAAAGAAGGTTTTCTCGCGTTTGCCTGTTGTAAAAAAAATGTGATTATTATCGAAATTGCATTGCATTTCAACGGATATGAATTTTAAATTGAAAAGTGAAAATAGTATTTAGTTTTGTTTATTTTGAAATTGGGTGAATAATATATTATATTGAGATGTCCCCAAAGTGAAAATGATTATTTTTTATTTTTGGTTGTTTCACTGTTAGTCTAGAATGGGGTTTTTGGGAAGCCACCAGATCTAGTAATAACATAACATAAGTGGTTCTGGACTAACGCAAGAATTTTAAGAAATCATACATTTTAAATATTAGAGCTTCACAGACGAAAGCTTTACGGAGGTTAGGATTTCATGTTTTTTTTAAACATCCCTTTGTATATTTGAAATAAGTTAGTGTATCTTTTGACACCTTAATATTTTTTTAAAAATACAATTGTAAATACATTTACTATTTTTAAAAAAATCTACTTAATGAGATATTGCACTCTCATCTGCATATAAATTCTAACTGACCTTCAGGAATCACATGCATCTATAATGTCGTAAACAGAGGTTTTTGCTTATTTAAAATGATTAAAGCGCCATTTTTTGCATACAATTTAAAGCAAAAACAGACTCACGGAGGATAGAATCAATTTTTGTAACGCCTACATAAATGGTTATAAAAATTATTTTTTAAAATTTTTAATAATATTTTATATTTGATTCGATTGCTTTGGATGTGTTTAATTTACTTAGTGAACTGATATTTTTAGTATGTTTTTACTACCTCAGATATTTGAAAACATAGGTTAACCTAGAAAGAGTAACAGTCACGGAGGATAGGTTTTCTTGAACAGGGCTCCCGCACCTCCTAAAACTCATAAAATTCCTAAAATTTTGCTTAAATCTTGAAAACTCCTAAAATTCTCCTAAAATTGCCTTCAATCTCTTAAAACTCCTAAAAATTAAATTTAAATAGGCCAACCTGACTGCGTTTAATTAAGGTAGTTGTCGTACTTAAAAATTTCTTTTTTAAAAAGTAATTTAAAAAAAAAAATATATATATATATATATATATATAGAGGTTCTATTTTATTAAATTCTTTTTAAAATGATATAATATCACAACTAAAATTTTTCTTTTTTAGCGATATTTCGTTTTTTAGTCAAAAATATACCGTGTTATATACCAAACAAAAGGATTTTTAATTTTAATCCTGAGCGGAAAAAGTGAAACAACCCCTGTATCTACGCCAATGGACAATTTTTACAAAAGTTACTTGGGTCAAGTAACGAGTATCTATTTACTAAGTACATGTATCAAAGTTGGTAAAAAACGCTTTAGCGATCTTAGAGTTAGAGTTATGACAAAAAAAAGATATTTAAAACTGAACTTTGCAGTACCGTAAACACGGGTGGCTTTGGCTCACTTTCAAACTTCAGCTTAAAATTTTTGTGGTTTTAACAATCATAAACATTAAATTTTGTATACCAAAATTTGAGTCTTGAGTTGCTCTTTCATAATAACTATGTTATAATATGACATAGGGCTGAGTTTCAAAAATAAACATTAAAAACTGGGTGTGCAAAGTTACCCCCTGGTTGCGGGTTACTTTGTCTCACAGTGTTTTTTCAGTATAAAATGAATGTAATATTATATTTTATTTTTATTAGACACGTGTTAGCAGCGACATATATCTATTGCAAGGGATTACCAATAAAAAAAATAAAGAATCGACCTGTAGTTAACCAAGGATCATCATTCCAATGGATTGCGCATAATATAGAAATTTTAACGCGTGTATTTCTAGAGTTTTGCACTGATACGATATATACAATTTTAAAGTGTAATAAATCCCATTTCTTTCTTTAAAACACTGATTTTCCTGTAATATAAACTCAATAGAATCGCTCAATTGACAGGTTTAGACCAACAAATTATAAATGTTAATTTTATCGAGCGCGAAAAGATTTTTCATAAATGGGTTAAAGTCACCCGCGGGGTGCAAAGTCACCCGTATTTACGGTACTGTATGTTTTTTTAAACTCAATTATCTCGTAAACAAAGCCTTAAATCAAAATTTGACAAGAGTGGCTTTTTTTCTCAAAATTGAACAAGGAATTAGAAAAATGGGTCAATTTAAACCAATATCCAGTGGCGTAAAAAATGGGGTGGAAAAAGTGAAACAACCCCCCTGTATCTACGTCACTGGACAATTTTGACAAAAGTTACTTACGTCAGGTAACGAGTACCTATTTCATAAGTACTTGTACCAAATTTGGTCAAAAACGCTTTTATTTCCTGAAAGTTATGGCAAAAAAAAGATTTTTAGAACTCAACTTTGAAGGGCTGTATCTCCCTTAGGAGGGGTTTTGGAGAAAAAAATTACCATGCATGTCGACTTATTTTTCGATGGACTATCGAATGGTGAGTTATTGTTACTATAACCTGGACCACCCTGTATATGTACCTTAGATACAAAAGAAGTATTAACTTTTTTTTAAGTAGTAAAGAGATGTTTTTATTTAATTAAAGAAATTCATTTCCATACTTTATTTCTCCTAAAATTTTACAAAAAACCTCCTAAATTCCTAAATAAAATTTGTAATTTAGCCGTGGGAGCCCTGCTTGAACTTACTATAGAAGTTAACAATTATTTATCTACAAATCTCTTAAAACAGTCCCCTTGCATTTAATTAATTTGGTAAGCATCTATCAGTGTTATAACTGAAAAAACAATTCGCTTTTTTTTAATTACCCTAGGACACATGTTATAATTTTTACTTCCAGGACCGCAACATCTTCGCCACCACCGACGCCGAGCGCCGCCTGGTCGCCCCCGAAGGCCTCCAAGAACAAATCGACGCTCTAACGTCGAAATACCCCAAGGGCAGATCTTTCGTGCGCCCTTCGGGCACCGAAGACGTGGTTCGCGTGTACGCGGAGGCGGCGAGCGCCGCCGACGTCGAACGGCTGGGCGCCGAGGTGGCGCTCAAAGTTTTTCAGCTCGGAGGCGGCGTAGGGACGCCGCCCGAGCTTGCGCAGTAGGCTTTTGCGGGGGATGGGAGTGGAGATTTAACGGTTCGGAGAAAACGGGAATGATCGAAAAAAGTTTTTTTTGACCATTGGTAAGAAAAAAATTAATTATTTTTTTCGGGGATTTACCGAAATGCGGAGGAAAACGTTGCTGTCCCAATAGAGTAATTGCATCAAAAATGAAAATCCCTAAAAACCTTTTTAATGTAACCTAGAGGTAAAAACACATTGCGAAAATATTTTTTTATATTCCAAAAGTTCAACCCGGCCCCAAAATATCAAATTGAAAAAAGGTACTTTTCAAACGTTTCCGAACTCCCGCCATATTGCATGACGTCATAAACTTACACCAGTGTCAGAAATCAAGATGTCAACAAATAATAAACACCGATAAAGTTTAACATGTTTAACATGGAAAACGCGAAAAAATTGGTTGTAAATATTGTTTTGTGCCTTGTTGTACAAATACAACCTAGAAAACTCCTGGGAAAGTTGTCCCTTCAATTATCAAAAGCAAAGTTTATGACCCTACACTGAGAGCCGTTACGGCTAAGCCGTATTTTCTTGAGTTTACTATTATTTAACATACCTATTCCAACCACATACCTAGTAAACGACATTATATTTTACTTACATTAAAATGATCCTCGCAGCAATATAATGTTGACTGCGGTGACGATGTTTTGATATCGCGCCGAGCTATTTTAATCCACTTTATCCTTATTTTCCCTTTTGGCACGGTGATAAACCTTTTCCCAGGAGTTTTCCAGGTTGTATTTGTACAACAAGGCACAAAACAATATTTACAACCAATTTTTGTTTTCGCGTTTTCAATGTTAAACATAAACTTTATCGGTGTTTATTATTTGTTGACATCTTGATTTCTGACACTGGTGAAGGTTTATGACGTCATGCAATATGGCGGGAGTTCGGGAACGTTTGAAAAGTACCTTTTTTTCAATTTGATATTTTGGGGCCGGGTTGAACTTTTGGAATATAAAAAAATATTTTCGCAATGTGTTTTTACCTCTAGATTACATTAAACAGGTTTTTAGGGATTTTCATTTTTGATGCAATTACTCTAATAGAGGCGTTTCATAAAAAATAATTTGCAAACAATATTTTAAATATTTTTAACTATAACAAAATATTAATTTTTCCCAAAACTTTTTTCAATTTTTTCTACGAAAAAACCGTTTTTTTTCTTCCGTACATTTTAAATCTAGGTGGGAGTTACCAGTTTTTATGGTGAGAGCTTTCAGCTTGAACATCACTTAGCCAAAGGTTTGCGTTAAAAAACTACGCAATACTTTTGCCTAAAGAAGCATTTTAAAAGATATTAACTAGCAATTTTTACAATGAATTTTATTTTATTAAGTTACGAAATACTTTATTAATTTATATTTACATACATACATAAATGAACTTTATTATAATTATGTTTTTTATACAACTTAGGGTATAATTTAATTTAATTTAACATTTAAGGGGTTTTTACCTTTAATTAACTCTAGGCTAACACTGCCACATAAAAAAAAACATACAAAATAAAATATTATGTCCTTTGAAAAAGACTGAAGGAATTGAATTATGGATTTGTGGCACAATATTTTTTTGTAAAACTTACTAAAACTAATAAATATATTAAATAGCATTGATCAACAATACAGCCTCCAAAAAATAGACATTTATTGCTAATTATAAAAAATTTCAGCTTAAAAAAATAAATTTGTAGACAAGTCACTGTATATTGGGTGTCTAGTTTTTACATAATGGTATCCTAAAGACATAACTTGCCTTTGTATAGAATTTATTTCATATCAAGTGCAATAAATAAAAAAATAGTGAAAATAGTACCACAGGGTTTTTATTTTATTATTTTATTATCCAAAATATTGTATAATAATTAATCAAAATTATCAAATTTATTTCAATTGTAAATAATATAGAGCCTATTTAAACCATATTTTGCTACTGTGTTACATTAATATTATATAAAGTTTGTGCTATGTTTGGCTTAACAGAATTTAAATCAAACCATACTAATTAATTATAATCGCACAAGCAAGCCATTGTTAATTTATTTATTTTGTAGTTTTTAAAGTGATATTTTATAAAAGTTATAGTTTAAAAAGACATTAATTTAAGCTTCCTTCTTAAACTATACTTTCTTTTATTATTGTGAATAATATGTGATCAAGAAATTTGTTTATGTGGCCATAATTTTTGAACAATGAATAAAAATTCATCACATATTAATTTAAAAAAAGTGGACCAAAGATTTACCTGCAATAAAGTGGCACAATTTAATTGTGTCTTATTATTGCAGGTTGTTGGTTTGTTAGTTTTGTTTTTTGTTTAAATTTTATAATTTTAAGCTTTCTACAACTTATTCTAATAAACTTTTATTACTAGTTTATGTTTTATTTAAAAAAAATCCAAATAAATACCTGACAATTAAAGGTAAAAGGTAAGTTTGTCTCACATCAAAAATCCATAACTTTTTTATTTATAAAAATAGACCAATAAAATTGTATACATATAAAGAGTAAGTAGATTGCAAGGCAATTTAATACATAACAAAAAATAAACAATTAATAATTAGTTTTTGTATTTTTAAATTTTCAAAACTGTATTAATATATTTTTCAATAGCATTCAGTTGGTTGGAAATAAAATAAATTTATTTTTTCGGGGATTTACCGAAATGCGGAGGAAAATCGCCGGTTAAATTACGTTGCTGTCCCAATTCGTCGGCGTTTCATAAAAATAATTTGCAAACAATATTTTAAATATTTTTAACTATAACAAAAGATTAATTTTTCCCAAAACTTTTTTTCAATTTTTTCTGCGAAAAAACGTTTTTTTTCTTCCGTAAATTTTAAATCTAGGTGGGAGTTACCAGTTTTTATGGTGAGAGCTTTTAACTTGAACATCACTTGGGCAAAGGTTTGCGTTAAAAACTACGCAATACTTTTGCTTAAAGAAGCATTTTAAAAGATATTAACTAGCAATTTTTACAATTAATTTTATTTTATGAAGTTACGAAATACTTTATTAATTTATATTTACATACATACATAAATGAACTTTATTATAATTATGTTTTTATACAACTTAGGGTATAATTTAATTTAACATTTAAGGGATTTTTACCTTTAATTAACTCTAGGCTAACACTGCCACATAAAAAAACATACAAAATAAAATATTATGTCCTTTGAAAAAGACTGAAGGAATTGAATTATGGATTTGTGGCACAATATTTTTTTGTAAAACTTACTAAAACTAATAAATATATTAAATAGCATTGGTCAACAATACGGCCTCCAAAAAATAGACATTTATTGCTAATTATAAAAAAAATTCAGCCTAAAAAAATAAATTTGTAGACAAGTCACTGTATATTGGGTGTCTAGTTTTTACATAACAGTATCCTAAAGACATAACTTGCCTTTGTATATAATTTATTTCATATCAAGTGCAATAAATAAAAAAATAGTGAAAATAGTACCACAGGGTTTTTATTTTATTATTTTATTATCCAAAATATTGTATAATAATTAATCAAAATTATCAAATTCATTTCAATTGTAAATAATATAGAGCTTATTTAAAACATATTTTGCTACTGTGTTACATTAATATTATATAAAGTTTGTGCTATGTTTGGCTTAACAGAATTTAAATCAAACCATACTAATTAATTATAATCGCACAAGCAAGCCATTGTTAATTTATTTATTTTGTAGTTTTTAAAGTGATATTTTATAAAAGTTATAGTTTAAAAAGACATTAATTTAAGCTTCCTTCTTAAACTATACTTTCTTTTATTATTGTGAATAATATGTGATCAAGAAATTTGTTTATGTGGCCATAATTTTTGAACAATGAATAAAAATTCATCACATATTAATTTAAAAAAAGTGGACCAAAGATTTACCTGCAATAAAGTGGCACAATTTAATTGTGTCGTATTATTGCAGGTTGTTGGTTTGTTAGTTTTGTTTTTTGTTTAAATTTTATAATTTTAAGCTTTCTACAACTTATTCTAATAAACTTTTATTACTAGTTTGTGTTTTATTTAAAAAAAATCCAAATAAATACCTGACAATTAAAGGTAAAAGGTAAGTTTGTCTCACATCAAAAATCCATAACTTTTTTATTTATAAAAATAGACCAATAAAATTTTATACATATAAAGAGTAAGTGGATTGCAAGGCAATTTAATATGTACATAACAAAAAATAAACAATTAATAATTAGTTTTTGTATTTTTAAATTTTGAAAATTATATTAATATATTGTGCCGATAGGGCCCAAACCGTGGGATATAGGGCCGATCTGGGGCCGAAAACGAACTCTACGGAAAATTTCACATGGGTTTGAGTCTTTTTGTTAACTTAATCCGGGTAATAACAAAAATTGTTTTTTTTTACCAAAATCTTCGTCTGTCAAAACGTCCAAAAAGGCATATCGTCAATTTTTCAGGATCTTTTGAGGGGGCTGTTGGGTGTCTAGATATACTAAATCAAGGTCGTAGATTCCAAAACTGCTACCAGTTTTATCAAAAACCGTTCCATAAAAGCGCTACGGCCATTTTTTGATTTTTCAAAGCAGTTTTTTTAAGATTGCGGACAAGCCGGTAATTTATCGAGTCAGCGGTATCGATTTTCAAATTTCGGGGAAAATTTGTCATAGGGTAAGACATACTTTATTAAAATCAGAGACCATGACCAATTTTTGAAAATTGATCGATTTGGTCAAGTTTTTTTGCCATAATTTTGTAAATAATAAAATGGTTTAAAAAAACGTTCCCTAGGGTTTGTTAGTTTTGTTTTTTGTTAAATTTTATAATTTTAAGCTTTCTACAACATATTCTAATACTTTTATTACTAGTTTGTGTTTTATTAAAAAAAAGTCCAAATAAATACCTGACAATAAAAGGTAAAAGGTAAGTTTGTCTCACAACAAAAATCCATAATTTTTTTATTTGAACTTATTTTTATACATAAAAAAACAATTCAAAATCAATTTTTGTGTTTTTAAATTTTGTCACCCCATTTTTAAATCGAAAATCAGCAAAATAAAACAGATTTTTTTTTTTTGATTTGAAAACATAATATTTATTATTTTTAGCTGCCAGATGTTGCCAATTCCGAACAAAAATTTGATATTTTTTGTTTTTGGGTTAATTCAACCTATTTATGTGATCTTTTTAATAAAAAAAACTATGAATATACAAGGCTATTTTAATTTAAATTTTTTTTAAATTTGAAAACATATTTTAATAAAGGCGTCATAACCAAATAATAAACCTACAATTTAAAACAAAAACTACCAAATTTGGTTTGACGGTTCGCGAGAAAATCAACTTTAAAATTGTGGCAAATTTTTAGTGGTGCGTTAAATTTGACGCGAAGTGTATATACTTATATGTATGTATATATATTTTTATAAATATAAAACTAAATAAAAATTACTTACCCTTTCAAAAGTTGAGTATAAATGGTACATTGCATGGTGAAGGTGCATTAAATAAAAAATGTGGTGTATTTTAGACTTTTTATTTTCGCAATACCTTGTAACAGTACCATTACAAATGTCGAACTGTTATGAACTTAAAAATAACGGCGATCAGCCCAAAAAAACTATCATAATAGTGTTACTAAATATAAATGAGAGAAGAAATCATATTACACAAATAACAATAAACCTAAACTTACAGATTGGCATATTAATAATAGTAATAATAGTACACACACTGACTTTATACATTTAAATTTTTATTAAACGGATGTTAATAATGTAAACATGTTTTGCTATAATGGCAGGTGTTGATTACGCCCGCTACTGAATAAGTTTTTTTATTTAACATACTGCGAATTTACACTTAATTTTAAACGAAAAAATTATTGTGAGATATAATTGATGAACCAATCACAGCAACCTTTATTTAATTTAAAACGACCATCAGCCAATGAAACGCAACCTTCCCCTACTCTAATCTGGACTCGTTTTTTACGTTTAATTCTATCACAAATTGTCCTAAATAGAATGTAGTTTTTTTGACAACATTTTATTTGGCAAAAAAATTCCATTGTGTTTAGGGTTTACGTGTTTATTATATAACTTTTTGTCGGAAGCATTGCATTTGGTTGACTTATACTAATAGGAAATTGAACGAAGGTTTCCGTGAAAAATCGTACACGAAGCTAATTATTTTTTTTACAAATTACTACACCGATAATGGAAATTGTAAATCGAAAAATTGCGACGTTTTTATTATATTTTTCGCGTCTCTTATTATTATCAGTTCGTGATCAATAAACAAATACGTAAACACCACACATTTTACCGGCTACATTAGAAAACAACGTACAAATTTTGCAACGTAGCAGTTTTAAAGTTTACGTTAGTGTACTCCCTTATTGATACGATGAATTGCTTGTTTCCTTGTTGTTCCTTGAATTCATCATATTTTTCATAATCTACGCTTAATAATAAAGTTTAAATAATACAGCCTGACTTGCTCTCATTCGATCACATTTCATACAATTTTTTGTTTTATACTTACATACACTTTTGTTCGAGCGCGGGGCCTAATTTGTAAGTGGCCGCAGGCTCTCATTTAATTTTTTGTTTGTTTTATTTTTTAATTATTATTTAATCTTATATAGGTTTTTATACAGTATTCCGCTTAGACGACGGTTATTTTTTTTTATAGTTTAGATAAAAGTAAAATTATAATTCGTAAATATGCTCACTTATAATAAAAATTTTAATTTTAAATATAAAAGAGTCGGACCACCCTCTAAGGGGACCAAAATTTATATTTTTGCTTGTGTTAATTCAAAAAAGATTAAACCAACCAATATTTTTACGGAGTTGGCCCAAGCCCAGTCGGTGCACGTATTAATTACGCGTTAACGGTTGCCTAGAAACAAAAAACAACAAAATTAACAGACGCCCAACATAACCAAACGAAACAAAAAAAACACCAAATTTTTAGTTACTACCACTCTTAATTTTTTTATTTGGAGAAATTTTAGGCCAATATTGTGACTAGTAGCATTAGTATAAGCAAATTGATTTTTATGATTTTTTATGCATGAATAAAATTATTAACTCAAACTTTATTTTTAATTTTATTACAACCAACACCTTTGATAATTAAGCGTGTGTAAAAACAATGTTGGTATCACTGAAATACCTGTTCAAAATGAAAACGAAAAGTTGATAATAAGCAAAATTGAAAGTGCAACTTTGACACCCTGTATATTGGTTATAATCAACTTTTTTATAAAGGTAAATTTAGTTATTTATATCCCATCTCTATGCTATTATTTTGTACAGGCATTTCAGGGCCACCCTGTATAGGCAATGCATTTTAAATTAACCAATGGTTTTATTTTTAATAACCCATTTAAAAAGTCACTTTTGATTCAGTAGATTATAGAAATGTATGTTTCAAAATACAGTACATGAATGGGAAATTAAATTAGACGTGAAAAATCGACGGGTTTGAAACTTTTAATATTTACAAAAACTTAAAATGTGTCGTCATTTTTCGCCACACTGTAAAATCAAAATATTTAAATCTATAAAATTATAATTTTATTCAAAAAAAAATATATAGAAAAATAATTATAATAAAAGAATGTATAAAAAATGATCAAATGAATTTAAAAAAAAAAATCTAAAGAACCAATATGAAAAATAAAAAAATTAAACCCAAAATATAACAGGTTTTTTTATATTAAAAAATTCTTAGAAAAAGCAAATAAAACTAAAAAAATATATTATAAAAATTTGGTAAAACCTATACCCTTAATAAGAATAGTAATAAAAAGTGACCTACTTCTAACAAAAAATAATAGAAGTAATTTAAAGTTGACGCTTTTTTTAACAGAACAAACAAATATTTCAAGAAACTTTTTATTACAACTTAACAGTTAAATTTTTAAGCCGGCCCTGGCTTATTTTTAAGTTTTGATAAAAGTGTCTTGAAATATTTTTTGATTTATTCAAACTATATTATTTTATACTTACAGTACAAAACATATTTGGATTATATTTGGTGGGTTAAGCTTTTTGTAATGATGATAAAAAATGAATTATTATTTGCCACACCTTCTGCTAGTATTAAAAAGAATTTAGTATGCGCTGATGTTTATGATTATCGATTGAAAGCAGAAAATCAGAAATAAAACTCTTCAGTATTTTTTATAAGGATAATATAATTAAAAGGTTACATTCTTATAAAACAGAAATTAGGTTTTCTTGAAATAAATTACAAATCTTGCATTTACTTGGTTAAATCATAAAAAAATGTGTTGTGTTTGTGTAATAATTAAAAAAATTTGCACTATCTCCACCAATTTTTTTTTCAAATGAAAACATGTTGTAGAGTAGTTCCTCAAGGAGCTAGCCTAGAACAGGTTTCAAAAAATTAGATTTCGAATTTTGTTAGTACATTTTATCGTTGTGGGAGCCTTAAGGGGGGTTTCCGTGTTAGGCGGAGACCCGCCTTAAGCCGATTAATAAAAAATAAAACACCAAACATTGGGGGGATATAAATTTATATGAAGACGATTTGGTTTTAATACAAAAGTACGACAATAATCATAACAATGGTTCGCTCATAGAAAAGGCATTGTGTAGCATTATATAATAGGGGGGATTTGTTTTTAGTAACCTTTGAGGTTTTTAATATCTGTAGCAGAAGCGTGGGCTTTTGACTGAGCAGTACCTTTAGCAGAGTTCTGCTTGTTCTTATCATCGTCTTTTTTGTCACGGTTTGCTGAAAATAGGGCATCATAAGAACTTTTATGAATTTGAATTAAATGCAAACGGCAAAAAATAGCTTAGCATAAATATTTTTTAACCCTCTCCAAAGAAACGCTTTACTTAAATTATAATGTTACACTGAAAGAAAACATCCTTTTTAAATGAAGACGTTTGTTAAAATAAATGCAAAAGCCAATTTTTCTGATAAGTATACAATAAAAATGCAAAAGTCAATCAAATAAAAAAGTTTGTAAAAATATTCTAAATAACAATAAAATTAGTAGTGGTTTGAAAAGAAAAAGGTAAAATTTTAAAAATTCTAAAATCAAAAAAAGATCTTTAATAATAAAAAAGGTTTAAAAAAATAATTATTATCATTCTTTTTTTAGACCTTTTTTGATTTTAGAATTTTTAAAATTTTACCTTTTTCTTTTATCATTGATAAAAATGGTCCAGATCATAACAATTTGTAGATAAGGTTAAAAAAACACAGAAAGTAAAAAACATTCAAGAATAATAGGATTTTTAAAGAAACATCACAGGAAATAATAAACTTTAATAAAATGAGAAAATTAATTTAAAAAAAACGACACTTTTTAAATGCTCGAGCATTTTTAAAAGCACTTGAGCATTTGTAAGCATTATTAAAAGTGATCACACTTCTCTATAAAAAACTAAATTTTTAAATGTTTTTATTCAAAATCACAGAAACCATGTTAAATATGTTGTAAAACCAGCGTTTTAAAACGTTGAAAAAAAACCCAGAAATTTTTTTTTCCGTACTTTGACTGGGCCTTGAAAAAAAAGTTTTTTCTTGTGAAAAATTAAAAAAAAATATACGCATTTTAATAAAAGGAGAATTTTTATGTTATTTATAAATTTTACTTAGTAAAGCCGTTAACACCTTTTTTTAAATCAATGTTTTCAGAAAAGTCATTTTTTCAGCATCTTAAAAAACACGAAATTTTCAAAGCCTCCAAAAAAATTGGGAAATTTGCAGAAAAACTTAATTTAGCATTTTTCCGTAGTGCTGAAAATATGAGAACAAACGCAAGTCAATTTTTCTGAAAATTGGGTTAATATAATAAAAAATGCATTTTTTTAAACATTTCCAATTTTTCGAGAGATTTTAAAACACTAGTTTTAACAACTTTTATCTTTTATATTTCTTTCAAAAAATTAATATATTTTTTAATCAACATCACAGAAAACATCTACTATTTAATGTTCTTTTAAACAGCGTTTTAAAACTCTAATAACGTAAACATTTATGATTTTTTTTTATTTCTTCCGTTTTTTCCCTGGGCCTTGAAAAAATGCCTTTTCTTGTTAAAAATTTTGAAAATTTTTTTTAACACATTTTAATAAAATTAGCATTTTTATGTTATTTATAAAAGCTTTAATTTTACTTAGTAAAGCCGTTAATACCTTTTCTTAAATCAAGTTTTTCAGAAAAGTCATTTTGAGAAAAAGCTTTCAAAACACCACTAGAATTTTAAACGAAAAAATTGGGTTTGCAGAAATACTGAATTTTGCATTTTTTCCGTAGTGCTAAAAATACTAGAATATACGCAAAAGTCAACTTTTCTTAAAATTCGGTAAATATAATAAAAAATTCAATTTTTCCAAATTTTTCCAATTTTTCGAGAAATTTTGAAACACTAGTTTTAACCAATTTTATCTTTTATATTTAAAACAATGTATTTTTCAAAAAATTAATATATTTTTAATCAACATCACAGAAAACATGTTAAATCTACTATTTAATATGTTCTTTTAACCAGCGTTTTAAAACGCTAAAAAACGGAATAATTGATGAATTTTTTTTATTTCTTCCGTTTTTTTCCCTGGACCTTGAAAAATTTTTTTTTTTTTGTAAAAAAATTTTAAAAAAATTAAAAATAAGCACATTTTAATAAAAGGAGCATTTTTATGTTATTTATAAATGACGTTAATACCTTTTCTTAAATCATATTTTTCAGAAAAGTTATTTTTTCCGCACCTTGAAAAAAATCCTTCAAAACACCACTAGAATTTTAAACGAAAAAATTGGGAAATTTTCAGAAAAACTGACTTTTTCCGTAGTGCGGAAAATTGGTTTTATATACCTAATAAAAAATGCAATTTTTCGGGATATTTTAACCACTTTTATCTTTAAAACAATGTTTCTTTCAGTGCCAAAAATTAATAGTATAAAAACCAAAAAGAGTAAAAAAGGAGAAAATGACAAAAGCTTTAGGTCAATATTTCTGATAAATTAACTGAACTATTTACTTAAAAAAAATGTTAAAAATAGTAAGGTCACCTGAAAAAAAAAACAACAAAAACAATCTACTAAAGTCTATTCATTTTACAGACGGAGTAAACAAAATAAATACAATCGACTGCTTTTAACGACTATTTCCCTCGTCTTAATTTCAACCAATCACAAACGCGCAATTTTGAATTACAAATGGTTTCTAAGTGACTATTCCACTCATTACTTTTTGGACCAATCAGATTTCAGAAAACGAGTGGTTTTTTCAGTTTTGCAGCGATAAAACTACTATTCAGGTGAAAAAACCACTCGTTTATACGAGTTGCATAACAACCAATTGGTTGCTATGATAAAAATAATTGTCACTGTTGACGTTTTTAATTTTAAAATTAAAATGTTAAAAAGTATGCGTTTTGGTCCAAAAAATCATACAGAAATTGAATCAGCAGTTAAAAATATTCGTGAAATAGTCTTGCCGAATACCACTCGTGATAAAATTTTCCCTGAAAAAATTTTTGATTTTTATTTACTCAAGATTTTTCCTTGGAAATTTCGCTCGTGGCATTAACTTCAAACCTCTCGCCTAGCGGCTCGTGGTCTTAAAAATTAATGCCACTTGCGAAATTTCCAAGAAAAAAACATTCGTATAAAAATCAAAAATTTTATCGGTAAAATTTTACCACTAGTGGTATTATATACGAAAAAACTGTATGACAGCACCTGTCAGCAGTTTATTCGAGTTTACCCGCGGCAAAACTTGACAGCTGTTGTCAACAAAAATTACAATTTATATTTTAATTGTTAACTGTTACTCATGAAATAGTCTTGTCAAATACCATTCGGGCATCTAATTTTTCCTGTGAAAAAAATCGAAAAAACACGTTGCTAAGTAATATTTTTTTATCAAAATGCATTCGTGCAGGTGCAAAAATGCTCGTCTTCGACTCGTATTTTTTTTGCCACCAGCACTCATGCGTTTTGTTAAAATATTACTTAGCAACGTGTTTTTTCGATTTTTTTCGGAAAAATTAGATGCATTTATGATATTACTTACGAATAAACTTTAGATGAGGTTACTTGGAGAGAGAGTTTTCGTTATTTTTTCGTTTACCTGGCTGTTGGGTGAGGGCTTGGGAGGTCTGCGGCTGCGCCGAGGTGCCGACGGCGCCGCCCGACGCCGCCGCCTTCTGCTTCAGCATCGTCCAGTCGAAGGTGTAGTCGTACTGGTGGTTGAGCGTGCGGAACAGGATGCGGAACAACTGTCGCAGGTACATGTAGTCGGGCGCTTCCTCGAACCGCAGCCCGCGACAGTAGTTCAGGTACATCGAGAACTCGGCGGGGAAACCCTGCAAATTTTTTTATTAACAATTGAAAGGATTTTTATTTGTTGGTTTGGGCAGTACATTGCAGGAAAAGGGGTTTATACATTTGCATAAATAGCAAACTTGCAAAAACATTTTATTTTAATACAAAAGGCAATAGGGTAAAGTAGACAGATATCGGACACTTTATAGTTATTGGACAATTAAGGGGACATCCATTAATTACGTGAGGCATTTTTCTCATAATTTGGACCCCTCCCTCTCCCTTGGTGAGATGTGGTAGACCTAGTGATTCAAGTGCGGTAACGGTAATTTTGCTAAGGTAAGTTTGGTAATTTAACCCGGCAAATTTCTTTACCGGTAATTTTCAGAAATGATTTCGCCATGTAGCCCTGAATCTATAACGCTCTTGGATTTATTCATTTTCTTCACTTAGTTGCATTGTTTTCTGGGTGGTAACTGCCCGATTGCGATTTAGACGTGTTTGGCCAATCAAGGGAAGTATTAACTTTAAAATATAGATTCTGAGGAGGAAGAAAATATTTAAATTTTTAAATATACTTTTTGTTCTCTACAAGTAGGTACTTACTTTATTACTTAGTGTATAGCACTAAATCAGAACAATATATTTTTTTTATTTTTGAATAAATATTATTTGTTTAAACATTATATTTTTATGTAGGTTTCCTTTTATAACAAACAATAATATAATAAATGGTTTAAATATGTAAAAAATACTAAAAATATATAATTCCGAAACGTATACATTATATAATCTCCATTCACATGGTATAATTATTAGTTTTTTGAAATATTTCCAAAATTACCGGTAAATTACCACTGAGAAAAATCAAATTAAAATTACCGGTAAACTTCAATCACTAGGTAGACCCCCCCTATCCCTCACGTGAGATTCTAGCCATTAAACTTTTTTTGCGAACATGATAAACCCAAAAAATAAAAATTGATTACTATTTTTTGACAAATTTGAATTATAATACATATTCTTTAAACCCAAAAGTTGAAGTGAGATTTTTAATGATCCCCCCTCCCTTTTATAAATAGTTACCTTAAAGTCAAATCATTAGATGACGATGTATACAATTATAAATATCTGTCGGTAATAATATAGTACTACTTTATTTTGGGTCCAATATAGGACAAAAAAGTTCGCACGTTACTTTGGTGGTGACATTTTTGTTTTTTTGTTAAGAGCAGGGCAGTTTGCGGTATAAATGAGTTCCTCATGGTTTAAACATTGTCACTTTAATGCGTTTTACTTAATTCTGAAAACAAACAGTAAAATGACCAGTGTCCAATTACTGGTTGATAAAAAATGTAAATTTCTATTATTGGACATACGTCCAATATCATACTCTATTTGGATCCCGGACATTTACCAGCCAATTCTTATGTAAAATTGTCGTATTGAGCGATACTTCTTTAGCGTATAAAACTTTGTATAACAGTTTTTAAACGCAGAATTTTTATAAACTTTTTATTCAAGTTTATAAATAAATTTCTCGCCTGCATGGAAAGCCCAATATTGAACAAGTTATTTTTTCTTGTTCTATCCAATTTTCAAAAAATCTATTAATAAATGCTTGAAATAAAATTTGATATTTTTTATACCTCAAGGGAAATCGACGATCTTGCAATTAACTTAAAACTTGCATTAAACCATGAAATAATGGTAAAAATAATTAAAAAAGGGTTAAAAAAACTATTTGAAATGTAGACGTTACCTTGCAGAGCACCTCAACGGGCGTGGACATCTTCTTTTCGCTAATTTTCTCGTACTTTTGCTTCTTGGTGGCGGCTTTCAGACCTTGCCAGGGCAAACAGCCTCTGTTGAAGTACATGAGCACGTAGCCCAACGATTCCATGTCGTCTCGCCTCGACTGCTCGATGCCGAGATGAGCATTGATGGAGGCGTATCGCGCTGTACCGGTCAAATTTTTGTCCTCGCGATAAGGGATGTGCATGCGGGTGCGAGTGTCTCTGCAAAAAAAACCATTAGCCTTGCCAAATGTTTTGCAGCTGAGGTAAAATTTGTAGTGACAGCGTAGTGAATTTTGAATGTTTTCGGTAAAAAAACTACGTAAAAAACTCAAAAAATTCCAATCATGCACTTTAATTGGGCTTTTATTAAAGAATAAACAGGTATTACAAAATAAAATAAAAAAAACTTAAAATAGTCAAAAAGCTGAATTTTGGTCTTTTACTAAAAATGTATGGCTTCGCCATTTATCCATGGATTTTTATCAACATTAGCTTGTTTTTTTGGTAAAAGTCAGCTTTACGAAAAAAAATCAAACTAGAGTTATGTTTGATTTAAACCTTTTCGATATGTAAATTTTCGGCCATAAAAACGAATTTTTTAAGTTATCAAAATCGCTAGCATCAAAATAATTTTACGATATCAAAAGATTGTAGAAGGCTCAAATACCTTTAATTTAAGGGCTTGTTTGGCCAAATCGATCAATTAGATTTCAAGCTATACTCAAAAACGTCAAAACACCTTCAAAAATTGAAAAAAAACAATTGAAAATTCATAAAACAAAAAATTGAGTGTGATGTTCGTGTTTAGTAGGTCAAAATACATGGGACAATTATAATGGGATATGGTGGGCAGACATTTTTTTCGATTTTGTAAACTAGTGTTATAAGCAGTGGTGGCTGGTGGATTTTGGGCACACCCATATCTCAGTTATTAGACATGGGACCCACATCAAATTTATATGAGTTTATAATGACATTATATAGACAAGTTCTGCGCAAGCAGAATTTAAATTAAAGTTTGCGAAAAAAAGTTAGTTTTTAAGTGCAACCCCCAGCCTCCTGCCCCTCCAAATTAGGATAATTCAACTTAAAGTGGTACAATATTTAATTCACTGAAGTTTATCAAAAAATTTCAAATTTTATTAAAAAAATTTAAGAATTACAGGTTTTATACCATTTATAATTTTTATTATTTCTTTTACTAAATTTAAAAAAATTTCAAATGGTATTAAAATCTGTAATACTTGAATATTTTTAATAAAATTTGAAATTTGTCGATAAACTTCAGTGAATTAAATATTGTACCACTTTAATTTGAATTATCTTAATTTGGAGGGGCAGGATGCTGGGGGTTGCACTTAAAAACTAACTTTTTTTCGCAAACTTTAATTTAAATTCTGCTTGCGCAGAACTTGTCTATATAATGTCATTATAAACTCATATAAATTTGATGTGGGTCCCATGTCTAATAACTGAGATATGGGTGTTCCAAAATCCACCAGCCGCCACTGGTTATAAGGCAATGTAAACTATTTTTTAGAATTATTTTTAATGCGTTATCACTTCCTCTTAAACCAACTTTGGGTTTTCAAATGGAACCATATAAATATTATTGCATTTTTAAATTCTACGTGAAATTCTAGAAATACTAAAATTTGATTTTAATATTTTTAACAGTTTTTGATATGTTTAATTGTTTTCAAAAGTTTTGTCAGATGAATGGTCTTACTAATATGTCTGTATTACCACTAATAGTAATATTAAAAAGTTAATTTTTGGTGTGCCTATTAACTAAGGAGCACTCTATCGAAAGCCATTAATAGTATGTAAAAATTGTATAAAGGGTGCCTGGTATTTACGCTGACTTTTTTGTCACTTTAAATACCAAAGTTGATATCACTTTCGGTTTAACCGGAAGTGATAACGCATGAAAAATAATTCTAAAGAATAGTTTACATTGCCTTATAATTGCTATAGAAATTTGAAATCGTGTAGAAAGGTATAAATATTATTTTTCCTTTTCAAAAATTACATTGTTTATTAAAACAAAATTCAAAAGAATGAATTACTATAAGTGGAGAAAATGCTACTTCGATTCAACACTTCTTCAAACTATTCCTGAATCAAGATAGAATCGAATCTTTTTAAAACGATGAATTATTTATATGGATTTAATGAAGTGATTCGTTCGTTTTAAACAAATCGTTTGTGAAACAAATATTAGAAATATTCCTACTATTTGTTTCACATATCAGCAAAGTTGTCCTTTCTAAAGTATCGTTTGTGAATGACACACCTCCGATTCCCGAACTGCTGAGAAAGCTCTGCAAATCGATCGGGTTCTTACCTGTACTTCTTGGCAAGGCCGAAATCGATCAGGAACAGCTTGTTGCAGTGACGACCGATGCCCATGAGGAAATTGTCGGGCTTGATGTCGCGATGTATGAAGGATTTGCAGTGGACGTACTCGATGCGCCCGATCATCTGGTCGGCCAGCATGAGCACCGTTTTGATGGTGAAGCGGCGCGAGCAAAAGTTGAACAGGTCCTCGAGCGACGGACCCAGCAGGTCCATCACCAGGACGTTGTGCTCTTTCTCTTGGCCATAGTACCTGAAAGGTGAAAATGTTAGTTTTCAGTTGCGCATGGTGTGCCGCAAGGTTGGGTTTTCGGACCCTTAGACATTGAACAAGGAACGAATATTATCCCTTTCAGACCTCGGGCGTACCGTGGTTCGAAAGGAATAAACCCATAAACTTGACTTTTGTGGGCTCTTTAAGCACTTTGTGTTTTGTTTGGGTGTTGGGGAATATTTCTTATATTTGTTTAACATACCACCGAAGCTATCCTTTTTCAAACAAGGAATTCATGATTACGTAGAAAAAGGAGTAAATTTTATTATTGCTGTTGTGCACTGTGGGCCACAAGGTTGGGTTTTGGGACCCTTAAATGTTGATTTTGTTGTGAAAAAAGTTAGGGGAAGGTGGGGGAATTTTGCGCGGTGGGTAATTTTACGCATAAACAATTCTTCCAGATATGAAGTAAATAATACATTTTTTGAATGTTGCAAACTTGGAAACGTTGCTTTGGGTATACGGGGACTAAATTGTACCGCAATTAAGCTTGTAGCTTTTAGCTAGTGACCATGGTCACTAGCTAACTGTGATACATGTACGTTGATCTAAGAAATCCATGTCGTTTCCGCTACGAGTTAAGTTTAAATTTCTGTCCAATCGCTTAAATGTTTATAACACAACTTTATATGATCTTTCCTCGTAATCTGGTGTATGTTTAAATTGTTCAGGTTAACTTTTGGAAAGTTTTTTAGTATCACAATATTTTTCTTGCAATGGGGGTAATTTTACGCTGAAAAATTGGGGTAATTTTGAGCTGCAAAATTTGGCCAATATGGGAGCTTTGGTACAGGAGCTTAGATTGTTCAGCATAAACAGTTCCATTTGGGCACACGCGGAGTGTAGCGAAAAAACCAACCCCTAAAACTACATATGTGACAACTGCTGCATGTAGACCCTCCTCTTATTTCTAAGAACAAAAATTTAATTTTTAGTTATTAATTTTTGATTTTGTTTGTTTCATAGAGAAAATAGTTTTGTTTTATTTTTATGTTTTAATATAATAATATTATAGAAATAAACGGTTTATTTAGATATCTACAAATCTTTCTCTATACAGCGCAAATTTTCCCCCTATGATGCGCAAAATTACCCTGATAGGTGGGTAATTTTGCGCAAATGCATTATTTAAAAAAATGTAATTTTTGCATACTAAACAATTTTTTTTTATAAATTGCGCATTATATACACATAGTAAACATAGTAGACTATCGCTGGTATTAATTGCAAAATTTCACATTTAAACTTAACAAAGATACTAGAGATTTTGCTTAGATGCGCAGAATTCCCCCACCTTCCCCTAACTGTCTTAAGAATGTCAACTTAAGCTAGATATAACTATCCAAAGAAACCCAGCTTAATACTAAACAATATTTTAAACTTTAAACTATTGTAAATTGTCATAAAAACACAGCAAATGTTAGTTTTTAAAGGTGTACCGCAAGGTTAAGTTACGAGGCCTTGATAAATTTTACAATAAATAAATGACATTGTTAGTATTAAACAAAAACTCATATTGCAACCAATTAAAAATAGCTATTTTCATCGTCTAACAAGCAAATTTTGTTACTTTTTCCGCAATGTTTACCCGAAAACATTAGGTGCATTCTCTAGACGCGTTTTCTATTTACTTTACAATTTTTTATGCTAACAGTTCCGTGAGCACACGAACGTTAGGTCTAAAAATAGGTTGTGGAAGTAAATAAAACTAGCGTCAATACATCCACCGACAAACATACAACCCCCTAAAAATAATTCCTCAGGGGTTAATATACCACACATCCTATTTATAAAAACAGGAAGCCGATTCGGTTTTCTAAAAAAAGAGCGGTAAGTTTAAGACTATAAGACTAAATGATTTTATAAAAAACATTTAAATATAATTTGCATTAATGAAATTAAATTTGCCGTATTTATCAAGTTGTAGATATAATAGTATATTATGTATCAAGTTTTATAAACGCCATTTTAGTTACGACTTTTATTAGGTATGAGCGAAGCTTGCGAGAATTTAAAGCCAATATTATTTGTTAAACATCTGTCAACTTTCAACGGATTTAACCTCACGTTTTCCAAAATTATAATAAAGCAGCCCGTGACTAAAATGGCCAAAAGCCACTGTTACTAACTTCAACCCGTGCCTAAAACGCCATAAAGTCAAAGCTTATCAATGGGAGAGTAGATAAATAAGTTTACAATCTAAATTAGATCAAGTCATCAAAACGTTTTAAAAATAAAATTCCTGGCAACTAATAAATAAAATAAAAATCATGCATTGTTAAATCTCGTCATCTAGGCGGCCATTTTTCAGTAGAAAAATTACACTGCATGTTTATTTTATTCAGTTCTTGTTCATCATTATTGTGCTTTCTAAAATGATACTTTGGAACAATTTGGAAACTAAAGTGGCGCGCGGTGTTCCAGTTTCGACACACGCACTTCTTGAAACGATCTCATAGATCACGAAGCAGCAATTCAAATTAACCGATTACCCAATAACAAAACTAACGGACCATCTATTGCTATTTCTCTAGATAATGACCCATCAAGCGTAGTTTCGTAGGTTCGTTACAATTTAATACCAAAATGATTGCTATCAAACTACGATACAGCACTACTTTTCCAAATTAAAGTAATAAGATAATTTAGTTCAGTGGGAGACGAAATGCTTCATCCTACATCGATTGTCTTTAAAATAAAAAGACATGGAATATAGTAAAAAAATGAAACCGTTTTGTAACTTTTAAGGTAGCAATATCCAAAGTAGCATTTTTAGTGCATAAAACGTATAGGCCACTTATACTTGGAACTGTAAAGTGTATTCAGGGTTCCCAGCATTGTTTTGTACTTTTTTTTTATGATTTTATGACAAATTTTTCAAATTTTATGACATTTTTTATGACAAGAATTTATTATTTCTTAAATTATTTAATAAAATAAATGTAATTTTTTAACGGTTTATTATATAAAAATAAATATTTTTTCTTGCATCAAAATAAATATTTCTGCTATAATATTTTTAATATATGTTACTTTAGTATTTTATTATAATAGGTATTATAATCTCAAAATAAATAAAACCACAAAGGTATACAAATCTGAAATATTGGAGGCTCAAACAATGATTAACATGGGTCTCAAAAAAGCAAACAAAATAGTATATATATATATACCTATAGTATATAATATATACCTATAGGTACTATTTGTTTTGCTTTTTTAGACCCATGTTAATCATTGTTTGAGCCTCCAATATTACAGATTTTTTAAGAGTAGTTATGTAGTTATTGTTAAGGTACTTCAATAATTTCTTATTTCCTTCAGAAATAATATTTTTTGTTATTTTTAACTCTGCTTCCTTACTTGCCAAAATAGTATCAATTTCTTCAAGTCCTTCTTTGTGCCTTCCTTAGTAAAATAATTAGTATAAAAATAAATTTACCTTTCTCATTATTTATTTAAAATTCATTTCCTAACCTAACTTATTTTTCCTTCATAGTATGAAGGCCATATTTAAAACATTTTATTGCGTTTTATTCTACAGGACCGGCTTTAAATTTTATTTTACAAAATTTCCATTTTATAAAAAAGATCAAAGGTGAGAAAATTGTTAAAAAATAATGAAATTTTATGATTTCTATGACAAAATGTGAATTTTATGACATTTTAGGACAATTTAACCAATTTTATGATATTTAAAAATTTTATGACAAACGGGAACCCTGTGTATTGCCAAAATCTCTGCCACGTGGTAGAAACGGTTTTATAACGTGGAAGTGACTAAAATGAGTAACACTTTTTTAGTTCCAGTTACGTTTTAACAACGTTCTTGGATTGTATACAGACACGTTTATACTACGTTGTGATTACGTTACTTTAACGTGGATGTATAGTGGCCAAAACTGAAGCAAAACTACTATTCTTTACTTTACCGCAATTATATAATCAAGTGCTGCCACATTCAAGGTTTGAAAAAAGTTCCGAAACCGTTGCCAATACTGGTATACCCACTTTACTACTACTACCACCACAAAGTAATACTTAAGTGATGTGGTTTGGTTGCCGTTACTATTTATAATCCACTTTAAAGTTTAGGCAACTTTAAGGTGGTCATAAGTGGTCATAACATTTCAGATACCAGACATACATAAAAAAGTTATAAAACTATATTCTGTTGGTGCAAATCACATGATTATAACCACAGACCTCGTCTATTATGCTATTACAATATGAAGAATTTTAACTGTATCGTTCTAGATTTAGTTATTTTAACGTAATTGCTACTCATTTCGTTTTAATGCTAACACTGCTGTGGGATATTCCCAAATCTCTAGATAATTCTCGTGTGCTTGCATGAGGATTAGCGGCCTCTGCTAATACATTAATTTCATTATTTCCACATTTGACTGTTGCTCGACGAACTCTTTTTTCGGTTGAACACTCCCGTTTGTAGTAAACTGCTTCACTGTACGGTGAAATGAAGTACGTGATCGAATTTTATCCGGAAAACGCTGAGCGTAGATATTAACAGCATCATCAAGATTCCTGCCTGCTTCTCCATAAATCAAAATCATTTCTATTTTTTCTTTCACTGTTAAAAAATCCATTATGAAAATTAATCTTCGAACTAAACTGATTAAATAATGCGAAATAATGCTAAACTATGAATAGTTTCTTTATATCTCAATACGAAATATTATTTATAACTTTTTTATACTTCAATTAGGATTAAATTAATTAATTGATAAAATGTATCAAACTTAAACCAAAGGAAACTTAAATATTAGTTAAAAAATCGTGGGCACTTAAAAAAATCAGATTTAATTTAATAAGATCATTATTACCAAAAAAGTGATATTTTTATAGAAAAATTATAATTAATTAATAATTATTGCAGAATCGTATACAGAAGAAAAACGAACAAAATAGATTTTTTTTCATTACAGCGGCATCTATTACAAATATGAAAAAATGTTTTT